TGATATATAGCTGCTTTGATTTCAGTTTTTAGACCCCCAACAAACTTTGTGACAAAATAGGTTTCATCATAGGCCTGATTATAAACTAAGACCCTATGCATTAATTCCTCAAACTTGGTGTAATACTCCTCAACACTAGCAATTTGCCTAAGCCCTTCTAACTCTTCTAAATGTTCCTGATATTTGTCCTTGCCAAATTTGCTATGCACTGCTATACAGAGTTCAGGCCAGGTTTCAACACTATGGAGGGCCTCATAAGTTTGGAGCCACAAGGCAGCATTTCCAACAAAGTGGAGGGTAGCAAATTTTGCCCAATTTTCATAAGACACTTGATACATTTCAAAATACTTTTTAGAGTTCTTCCAGAGCTTAGGATTGTTACCATCAAACTTTGGGAAATCAGACTTGGGAAGCCTAGGACCTTGGAACCTATTGCTGGATTGATTCTGAACTGAAGACTCTCCTATATCAAAAGTGATGGGAGAGTTGGGGAATCGGGACTTACCCTTGACCAGGGATCGATCCTGAGCCGCGAGGGCTTTGGATTCGTCTCCCTGGTGATTCTCGATTTCGCCGTGCTCGATGGGCGTTGGGGTCGTCATCCCCGATGCCGCTGCAGGTAAGTTCTCCAAAACCGTCACTCTTGCGGCGATTCCTTCCACGGCCTTGTTCAGCGCTTGGATCCCCGTGTCCACCGATGGAATCCACGTCTCCAGCTTGGTCAGCGACCCCAGGAGTTCGTTGAGGTTGCTCGTGAGCTCCCCAACTCGCTGATTCAGATCGACGAGCTCTGCCTCCGCAGCAACCATCCTCTCCGTGAGATTTGGCCCCTTCTTCCTCGCCAGCGGGATCACTGCTCTGATACCAGATGTGACGAACTCCAAGACTCCGCCGGCGTCACGCCAAGCTAATCCGGAATTCGCTAGGGGATTTGGGTTGAATTAGAGAGGAAGGGGATGAACTGAGAGAGAGAGAGGTAGTTTGATTGTATTTGATTTCTTCTCATCGATACCTGCTCATCGGCAGGGAGTTCCCCTTTTAACGGGTACAAGACACACGCACTCGACACGACCGCCAGTCCAGCACGGCACGTCGTAAACACACACACGGTCCACGGCCCACAACAAGCCAGGCCCAAACACCCAGTTATACTCAATACAGGGAACACAACAGCTGACAAGCTACAGCACACATGACACATAACAGATCGCTTCCATGGAAGATGATGCAAGCAATTAATGGTACGCCTGCAGCCAAACTCAACGTCGTTGGCACCGCGGCGAGGCGTTGTCGAAGGCGAGGCTGACCGGCGCGCTGGCGGCGTACGTGAACACCACCGGCGACCCCTTCACGATCTGCAGGCCGTCGTTGACGAGGCAGAGCCCGTCGCTGCCGCCGGCGGCGTGGATCTTGCTCCGGTCGACGCCGGCGGGCACGCCGTCGAGGCAGGACAGCACGACGTCCCCCTCCGGGCACGAGCACTCGTTGCCGATCGTCACCTGGAACTCCGGCAGGCCGCCCACGACCCGCCCGGTCTTCACCGTCGCGATGGTGATGTCCGACGGGTCGCACACTCGCACGGCTCCGGGTCCTCGCCGGCGGCGACGGCGACGTGGATGTGGCAGAGGAGCGCCGCGGCGGCGGCGGCGAGGAGGAGGAGAAGGGTGGTGGCCTTGGTCGTCATGGTCGTGACGATGATGGCGTTAGATAAGCTTGATGGTAGATGGTTTGGTTCAACTCTCTGTGGTGTGAGGAAAATTAGTGTAGATAGTGTCACTATTTATAGGGATCATCAGTTTGTAGTACTATATGGGTACATAATTAAGGGCAACATATCAGATTAGCTCAATTTGGCGATTTGCATGTATCTCTTCCTGATTACGAAGATGGACATCCTCCCATTCCTCCTACGCGTTTTTTTTCTCTCAAAAATGTACTGCAAATGGTATATCAGAAATCACGTGATTTGATCGATCTTTTCCCCTCCATGTATGACTGTATGATGAGTGGAGGAATGGAGGATGTTATACGAAGATGGATTCTAATCCCTATAGAGAGGGATAATTTGTACTATGTGAATAGTACTACAAATACTGTTAATAATATGTTGAATTTGATATTTTCCACAATCTAAAATATCATTTTATAATCCGTACATATATATAGGTGGTAGAAGCTAACTTTCACCATAATATAATTGTTCACGTTATTAAAGTAACAGTCATTATATACAAAGTTGTCATAGTATTATACTTGTGCAACTATTTTTTGTTTATCAAAGTGATCGAGGTTACATCTTACTGACTCTTTTAGTTGATATTTTACTGACTTTATTAAAATGCCTAAAACATCGTTTTTTTGTGAATGGAGGGAATGAATGAGTAAGCTTTATTTTTTTTTTTAAAAAAAAAGGGAACATGAAATGAGTACGCGCGATTTCAGTCTGCATGCAAAAATGTGTTAAGTGGCAGGAGAGCAATGCCACGTACGTGGGCCGACCGAGGAATAATGCATGCTGATCACCTTAGTTCATACATTCTATCCTTCCAAAGATTTTCTCGAAGATGATCATTTTAGATCGTGATATATGATCGATCCGTTTCTTAATTACTCCCTCGATCCGTTTATATTATATAAGTCCTTAATCAAAATTTTAAAGTTTGATCAAGTTTTTAGCAAAATATAGTAACATTTTCGTATTCAATGTCAAATTTAGTGGAATTAATTTGATACTGTAGAAGTTGCTTTTTTTTTATAAATTTGGACAAATTTAAATAATTTTATTAAGAAAGAATTCAAACAACTTAAAATATAAACGGAGAGAGCAGCTCACATATGTACTTCCCTCTGTCCCAAAATGTGTGGAACGTTATCAAATAACTGCATCAGTTTCACGCATGCAGTATAACATTACAAACAAAACTACTTTAGATAAACGGAATCTATTTACTCCCTCTATGTTCCAAAATGATGGGGGAGTAACTATTTTAATGTCATTAACTGCAGCCAAGTTAGTTGGTACAACATCCGTTTTATTATAATTTGTTTTGAATTTTTTTCATAATTCAAATTTCTTTATATTTGACCAAATTTATAGAAAAATATAAGAAACAAAACTGACAAAATATGTTAGTTGTACTCAAAATACAAGAGATTTTGCTACATAGTTATTTTGGGATGAAATTAGTATGTCTTATTGAACTAATAGGAGAATGATAAGAGTCAACAAGTCAGATCAAATCGCACTATCTTAGGGTAGTAGCAATACGTCCCGCCAAACATCCACATAGGAAGAAAAGCAGTCGACGCTCCCCTCTCTACAATGCACTCATCTTTGGTTGGACCCACCACTTTTCTTTTTAGGCCAACCCCACCACCTTTTCTTCTCCTCCCCCCCTCTCTCTCTCTCTCGGAAAATCTAATAGGCGATCGATCGCGGTAGCGACCGGGTAGCGATCGCCACCCCTCCACCCTCCCTCTATATTTACTTTTATTGTACTGGGATATATCATAAGGTTGATTTTTTTTGACGGTTGGAATATCTTAGAAATTAGAAATAAGTTGTTTAAAGTTTGATTAAACAAAAAGAAAAGGGAGAGAGAATGCAGAGTCAGACATGCATACGATGCTCCGCCACCCCTAGCTCCCTGTACGCATGCAACGCTACAGAGATGCGGCAAAGTGAGCGACGTTTGATGGCTAGCTTTCTCCAGAAAAGTTTGGAGGAAATTATCGATCCGGCGCGTTACGTTAGTGTTCATGTCCATTAAAATCCTGACACTAATTGATAAATCGTGCAAGTTACATGCTATGCTAAGGCTTGCTACATGTTTGTATTATCTTTTTTTTTCTCAAAGTACAACTCCAATAAAACTTCAAATTGTTTTCTTCTTCTAAATTACTTATCTGAATTGAAATCCGATTACATCATTATATTCGTTACAATTAACTCTTGCTAATAAGATCTCACATGATTATATTTTTTTATAAACATATATCTTCAATTTATAAGTTGTCTGTGTGGAGGAAGAGGAACAAGAGGAAGCACCAAACCGCAGGAAAGAAAAAGAAAATAATTTGGTGTCAATCAAAAGACTTAATTTCTAAAAATAAGGATGGAAAAAAAAATCACTCACTCACTATACCTAGAAAGGTACTTAACATTAATCCAATTTCAGGTTGAAATATATCATCAATCTCCCTTCCCAATGCAATCAAGTTGTTAACTAGTTAGTAGTTACACATCGCTGGACACTACCCACTCTGACCGGGTAAGTAGGGAAAATATACGGTGGAAACCAGCTATGCAGTGAAATCTTGAAAACTACCGTTGGATAAAAAATGGACGTCTAAGATTTGTTCACGTCATTACCAGTAAAAATACTCAAGGTAAAATCTTTACTTATGAGTAAATCCGTGAGTAAAATTTTTACTCGTGATGGCGTGGACGAATGTCAGACGTCCATTTTTCGATCCAAAGATAGTTTCTAAGTTTCCACATGTGGTTTTCACCACATATTTTTCCGGGTAAGTGGATCTTATAGGAGGCAGCCTTTGTATGTAGGGGCGAATTAAATTTGTGCTCTCTCTATTTCAAAAAAAGAAATCAAATTCTAACTATAAAATATGTGTTCGTCCAAATTCATAGTCAGCATTTGTTTTTTTAGACGGATGGTGTAGGTATTTGAACCCATAGTTTTCTCCGGACAATAGAAATATGCTATCAAACTTAGCCAATTACATTAAAAGTTATTGCACTGAAAGTGATCTTAAAACCCACATAATCACAATTATATATACTTGATTTACTTCATATGAATGTAGTCTACGACGATATGTTAATTTCGATCCTAATATATATTGTAGTTAGACCATTACTACTATTGCCCATGGTTATATATTTGAATGTCCTTGTAATAATAAACTGCTATTGACTTTTAAAAATTACGTTGGTACCATATAATGTGTACGGGCGCCAAAAAAAAAAAGAGGACAATAAGTGAGATAAAAGGCTCATCATTTTGATTCTAAACTTCATTAAATTGACGAGGTTACAAAGACAATTTCGAATGACAACCACGGAAGGCGCACCCTGCCCTCAGCAATGCACCTACTCAGATATGTAAGAAAAAGTTACACGTATAGAAATTTGTTAAACTCCTTAGAAACGTTGATTAGTCAAAATTTTGTAAGGATTTTCGTTGGTGTCCTAAAAATTTTGGAAGAGTTATTTAAAGTTCCTATAGCATCCTCCAAAATATGAAATACCGAATGTTTGTAATTAATCATAAGTTGTCACGGGAGGAGCAGGCGCAGTGTCGACGACAGGAGGAGCTGATCCGGCCGCTGCATAGGTCTTATCGGCGGTTGATCCGGCTACTGGAGATGTCTCCTTTGCGGAGGTTGATCCGGCCGCCGCAGAGGTCGCCGTGTCGGCGGTTGATCCAGCCGCCGCAGAGGTCTCCTTGTCGGCGGTTGATCCGGCCGCCGCCGCAGAGGTATCTGATCCCGCGGCCTTGTCCCCTGGCAGCTTCGTCAGAGGATACAGGTCCTCGAGCACCGCGTCGGCGAAATCCAGCAAGCTCCACAATTGCACGAACAGCGCGACGACGTTGCGCTTCTTCTCCTCCGTGCACGAGCCGTCCTGGCAGCAGGTGTTGCAGAGGGGCGGGCGGCGCGTGCCGGTGGGGCCGCGGAGCAGCTGCGTGAGGCTGGCGTGGATGGCGAGGAGCTTCTCGTCCTCGGGGACCTTGACGGCGTCGTCGCCGGTGCCCTGGGGCTCCAGGGCGTCGTTCACGGCGGCGAAGGCGTGGCGGCAGCTGTCGAGGCACTGGTCGACCTTGTCCTTGCACTCGTCCACGGCGGCGGTGCAGTCCTTGGCGCCGTCCCTCGCCACGAACCAGGCGGTGGCGATGCACCCCCGGGCGATGCTCCTGGCGTCCTTCTTCCCCGCGACGATGTTGGACGGCATGTTCTTCACCAGTTGCTGGCACGCCTTCACGTCCGTCGTCTTGGGGCACATGGCCTCCATGTTCAAGATGTTGGGGTCGGGGATGGCGCCGGCGTTGGTGTTGGCGCTGGCGGCGGAGTCGTAGGCATCGGCCGCCGAGACGAGAACGGCTAGGAGGAGGAGGAGGAGGAGTGACGGCATTGCGGGAGAGGCGGCCATGACTGGGCTTAGCTAGCTTTGTCGATGGAGATGAATTAATGGTGATCGATGGCTAAAGAGGCCGTGGTTACGCCGTTTTTATATAGGCTAATCGCACAGCGTTTTCGCCTGCATGGATCTAACTAATAGGAGAGCTTCACAAGTGTTTGGTTCAGTTTTGTACACTTCTTTTTTTCTATTTTAAGTCATGGGACTAGCTATCCATCACACGACAGATTTTTGGGTCCAAATCACACAGATTTTAGATTAGTTGGATTAGGCTCATTTGATCACTTGATTAGAAGAGTCTATACATGTATCAACATATATTAATTATATATATTGCATATATTTTATTTGTTAGATCTTTACATTGAAAAAAATATATCACCAACCCATCTACTAAAAGTTACAGTGTAATTACACTATAGTTACAGTGTAATTTCACTATAGTTACAGTGTAACTATAGTGTAGTTACAGTGTAACTATAGTGTAATTACAGTGCACTTACATGTCATATCAACTAAACTTATAAATATAATTTTAGTTATATAGGATTGTAATTTTATATTTTAAAGGAAATAACAAGTACATATTTACTTACACAACATTTTTACCAAAATTATAGTGCACTTACATGTCATATCAACTGAATTTACGAATGTAATTTTAGTTATATAGGACTGTAACTTTATATTTTATTTCTTCAATCTGTTCACCTAGCTGCAACGACGTGCAATGTATGTACTCATCAATTATGTGCCAAGCTAGATGTTGCTGGCCTCATGCGTGCGTGGGAAGGAAACGCATCACAGCCGCTAATTAAATCATGCACAGACTAATCCACAAGGGAAGTAAATCCGAGTGATTTCGTGCCAAAAATTTGTCGCCAGATTTTTAGCAAAATCGTTAAGTCATTATTAGCAGCGAAAGTATATCCGGCTGTAAATTAATTAATGGGTACACTTAGCTAAGAACAGGTAATCGATATCCCCTCGTATATAGTCCTTTCCGATTGAACATATATACTCGTAATCAGCGTAAAACCAATTTAAAGGCTGTGTTTGTTAGTAGTTGGGAACTTTTGTTTTCCTCCGCACGTAAAATAAAGTAGCTTATTAGGGCACCCACAATGATTATTTATAGGCTCTATACAAGAGATCAATGTCAGCATATTTTCCTACATGGAAGATATTAAATGAAAAGAGAGAGCAAAACTATCTACTAACTTAGAGATAGTCTATAGAGAAAAACGAGGCAATGCATGAGAGAGCTATAGATACCCATGTAGACATACTATTGAAGTGGTTTACTATTAATCTAATCAATTGCTGAGATATACATGTTTTATAGATAGCACGTTACTTTACCATTGCGGGTGCTCTTAGCATATAAGTAGTTAAGTATCAGCTAAAAAATTAAAAAGGATTAATATGTATTTTTACATCAACTTTCTTACAGAAAACTTTTACAAAAAGTGCACTAAACAGTTCGTAATCACAGAAACCGAGGAAGTAAGTTAGGTAGAGACATGTTTGGGTTTTTAGTAGCTCTTCGTTGAACAGACAACATTTGTGATATATATATATGGCTACATTTGTGTTATCTTGTTCGATCATAAAAGAACTTCATGCCAAGTAAAAGGGAAACTCATCAGGCCATGCATCCACTACTCCGCCTCTCCCTCTAACACCTCTCTCCTTCTCCCTCTGCTGTTGCTCAATCTCTTCTACACTCGCCCTCTCTTCCTCCCTATTTTAGGGCTCACCCTCGCACGCTCTCCAGCGACAACACACCACCACCCTGCAGTCTCCAGCAATGGCAATGACAAGAAGAGGAGATGTAGGAAGACCAAATCTACGGCCTGAGCTCAGCGCTATCACATTTGTCACCAAGCACAAGAATTGATGACAACAGTGATGATGGGAAAGCTAGGGTGGAGGCCGCTAGATCTAACTAACTCCTTGCTGTTCTGAGCATGGTGTGACGTCGGTGACAAATGTCACTAGAATAGTTATGTGAAGTGGTAAAAAAAAGTTCATTTTTGATAAAAAAAAAATTGTTCCGACAGCTGACCACCTATTACTAATCTACGGAGATGAATTCTAATAGTTTGAGTGGATATCCATCTATCTATTATATTATTAAAGGAATAGAAAAAGGAGCCTCCTCGTTCGCTCTCATGGCCTAGAAATTCTCACATTAATCGGAGAAAAAGAAAAAGTAGAGTCCATATAGAAATATAATTTAGAAATAGCTGAAATTCAGAATTAAAAATAAGGAATATTAGAAGAGGAGACTAGAGTCTATATAGAAATACAATTTAGAAATAGTTGAAATTCAGAATTAAAAAATAAGGAACATTAGAAGAGGAGACTAGAGTCCATATAGAAATACAATTAGGAAATAACTGAAATTTGGAATTAAAAATAAGGAATATTAGAAGTGAAATACAATTATGAAAAAAATAAAATTTCGGAATAAAAAAAAGGAATATTAGAAGTAGAGTATAGAATCCATATAGGAATTTAAAACTAACTAAAATTCAAAATAAACATAATAAAATGAAAAGTAGTGTTTAGAGTCCGTATAAAAATATAATTTACAAATAACTAAAATTGGAAATTAGGAAAAACATGGGAAGAATAGTTTAAAGTTAATATAGGAATACAATTTAGAAGTAACTAAAATTTTAAATTAAAAATTAAAGAATATTGAAAGATAAGTTTAGAGTCCATATAGAAATACAATTAGAAATAATAAAAATTCAGAATTAAAAAAAGAAATATTAAAAGATAAGTCTAGAGTCCATATAGGAATATATATAATTTACAAATAACTAAAATTTGATATTAAAAATAATTAATAACTAACACGTATATAAAATACAATATGAATATTACACATTAGTAGTTTCGTAAAGTTATTACAAAATGTAAAATTATGTTGACATTGTAATATATTTTAATAATATAATGAGAAAACATATATGCTAATATATGAAAGAAAATATAATGATGCTAGCCGCGCAATCTGTGCGGGCCATCATGCTAGTTTATTATATGTAAACTAGTAAATTAAAAAAATATAAACAAGACTCGAGATGTTAAAATAGTTTCCCACCATCTGTAGTAGTTTTCCTAAAAAGATTAAAAAGGACGCTTGCGTACACTCATCCCACTCATCCCATCCATGGTTGGTGTCGCCACCTGGCCAGACCACTCATCCCCTCCAACATTGTCATGAGATGACAAGAGAGATGTTGCCATCCTCGTACCGGCCATGTGTACCTGAATCATGCTCGTCGTGCCATCAGCTCGTCACCATCCACATCTCGATGTCATCGTCGACATGCTTGCATGCCATGCCCGAGCAGCTAGCTATTAGAAAAAGTCGAGGCCACTAGCTGCCGCCATCACAACACAGCCGCTCGTCCTCGTCGAGGCCACTCCACCAAACACTTATATTAGCCTGTGCCTCTCCTTTGTTGAAGTTGCAGCATCAAGCACCATCTGATCCGCTAACACTACCTTCCTACTTCCTCCTACCTTTGCCACCTTCTACTTCCTCCACCCTTTGCCACCGACACCACCCCACCATGAGGTCAGGGTCATCTGGATCTAGTGGACCATGACTATTAGGAGGCCAGGCCTGATCATGGTTAGAAATTTCGGACTGAAATTTCTGAAAATTCGCTCATTTCGGACCCCTCTGATATGATATTATTCTGGCCGAAATTTTTTACTTTTTTAAATTTTTCATGATTTAGGTAATATTTGTTCAAATTTAACTAAATTTTGTTCGAAATTTCGGTATATCGGTGACCTTCGATCAAATCAGCTAAACCAAAAAAGTAAACCCTAGGCTGACGTCTCGCACTTTGTTACCACTAGAACTACGGATGTTGACAACAAGAGTAGAAAGAGGAAGTGGAAGCTGCTTTGGATCTAGACAGCCCAGTGACAAGGACGGCGAGCTTGGTTGGGTGATCTCGAGGCATCGACAACATTAAGGAGGAGGTGGAAAGCTCCACTATGGGAACACAATATGTGCGGTAGCGGTGGAGTTGGAGCAAGAGGTGAGGCCATGGCAAAGAGGGCAAGTGCGAGAGGGTCAGTAAGCAGCAGGGTACGAGCAAGAGAGAAGGTGAGCAGTTTGGTAGACGGGGAACAAAGATACGTCTTCCGTGAAGATAGACAGATAGACCTTACAATATATCACTGATATTGCAACCGTCACAGACGTGGGGCCAAAACGATGATCCTACTTTTGTGATGGTTCATCTTCCACTTCCTCCATATCTTATCTTAGACAGTATAATATATCTTTTGGGGTTACGAATGCCTGGTTCTGTTGTAATGTGTAGGTCTGATTGCCCCCTCGTCATGACCACCAGATCGAGCATGAGCGCGAGCGAAGGAATTGGAATTGGCAATGGCGAGGACAGATAGCTCTTGACCAACTCCACAACCACCGTGATATATGTTTGTGGAGTAATGTTTCATATTAATCTATCTTGTCAATGTCTTTTATTTTTTTAATGACTATTTAGGTGGCATAAAAAAAGATAACATTCCTTCCACGGATAAAAACACTTTCTCCAACTATAGTACACATATAAAGTTTTTTTTACATATAAAGTACACTTATATGTTAGAAAAATAGAAGGAAAAAATTCAAATACCCCCCCCTAAATTTTAGATGAAAGTCCGTCTAGCATTCTAAACTTTGTAATATAGATTGTATTGTAAAGTTTAGGGGGTTAAATGTCCGGTTTTAAAGCTTAAGGTGATAGGCGGAGCTTAGGAGAGTATTTGGACTTTTTCCAAAATAGAATATTCAATGAGCCCAGAAACTGAAAATATCGCCGGCATCCTTTTTAGGTAATCGGCACGTCACAATTCACAAACAGAAGTATACATGTAGAGTTCTACTCCGAATCAAATCTAAACTTCGAAACCGCTACAAATTGACGCATCGCTAGCTGCAACGCCACCTATTATACCGGATTAGGTTAACATCTCGTGCAGCCAGCAAGCCAAGAAGTCGTCGATTTGCCATGGCGGCGGCGAAGGAGGACGACACGGTCGGCGGCGGCGAAGCCTGCCGGTCCGGACAGGCGGCGCTGGCGGCGCGCCTGCTGAAGAGCCTCGCGTCGGGCTCGTCGGGCGCGGCGGGCGGCAACCTCATCTTCTCCCCGCTGTCCATCCACGTTGCCGTCGCGATGATGTCGGCCGGCGCGGCGGGAGCACGCTCGCCGAGATCCTCGCCGTGGCCGGCGCGCCGTCGCGCCCGGAGCTTGAGGCGTTCGTCCGCGGCGTCGTCATGGGCCGCGTCCTCGCCGACCAGGCCCCCACCGGCGGCCCGTGCGTCTCCTTCGCCTGCGGCTCGTGGCTCGACGCGTCGTACTCGCTCAAGCCGGCGTACCGCGACGCCATCGTCGGCACGTACAAGGGCGCCGCCTCCACCGTCGACTTCAAGAATCACGTAAATCCTCTCACAAATCCACCTCAAATTCATCAGATCTACTCTCTCCGTTTGTAAATATTTGACGCCGTTAACTTTTTTAAATATGTTTAATCGTTCATCTTATTTAAAAAATTTAAGTAATTATTAATTCTTTTCTTATCATTTGATTCATTGTTAGATATACTTTTATGTATACATATAGTTTTATATATTTCACAAAAGTTTTTGAATAAAACGAACGGTAAAACATATGCTAAAAAATCAACAGCGTCAAATATTTAGAGACGGATGGAGTAGCTAATTCATCAACTTTTGTTTGATTTAATATTTGATGTGTGGCCATTGATGATGCAGCCGGTGGAAGCAAGGAAGGAGATCAACGCGTGGGTGGCGAGGGCGACGAAGAACCTGATCACGGAGGTGATCAAGCCGGAGAGCCAGAGCGTGGACACGAGGCACGTCGTCGGCAACGCCATCTACTTCAAGGGCGAGTGGCTCGCCCCGTTCGACAAGTCCGACACGGCGGAGCGCGAGTTCCGCCGCCTCGACGGGAGCTCCGTCGAGGTCCCCTTCATGCAGCGGCCGTCGGGGAGCTACCACCACGTCGCCTGCCACGACGGCTTCAGGGTGCTCCGCCTGCCGTACAAGGCGACGAGCGACACCTACAACCTCAAGCTCCGCTACAGCCTCCCGTCGTTCGCCATGCTCGTCTTCCTCCCCGACGACCGCGACGGCCTCCCGGGCCTCCTCGACAGGATCACCGCCTCGCCGGAGTTCGTCGACGAGCACCTCCCGCCGGGGTGCGTCCCCGTGGGCAGGTTCCGGGTGCCCAAGTTCAAGCTCGCCTTCTGCCACTACGGCATCGCCGACGTCCTCCGCGGCCTCGGGCTCCGCCTGCCGTTCGACATGTTCGCCGCGGAGATGAGCGGCATCGCGGTGGAGGGCGACGGCGAGGACGCGGCGATGTTCGTGAGCAGCGTGATCCACAAGGTGGTGGTGGAGGTGAACGAGGAGGGGAGCGAGGCGGCGGCGTACACGGAGGAGTCCGACGACGACCTCGGGTGCTCGCTGTACGACGACGACTACACGCCGCCGCCGAAGCTGGTGGACTTCGTCGCCGACCATCCGTTCGCCTTCTTCATCGTGGAGGAGAGGTCGCAAGCCATCGTCTTCGCAGGGCATGTGCTCGATCCTTCCGAGGAAGAGTAGGCTTCTGGGCAATCCTGACCCCGATGGTTGCCGCGTGGACAATCTCAGAATCGGACGTCTAGCTCGTTGCGGCTTCAAGCACAACGCAAATATGGCAGATGAGCCTCGCTCGACTCGGCTCCCGGGCCGTTGGCTTGCAGGCTCAGATCCCTCTCCTACCGGTTCCTCCGCAGCCGCTGCCAGCGGCGGCAAGCGGCGCCTTTCTCATCTACAGTCTCTCGTCCGTCACCACTCCCTTTCTCGAACGTCGTCCACTCGGCCGGAAAACCGTATGATATGTTAATTTGTTCAACTGAACTTGACACTGATCTTTTACTGAAATATATGCACTGACCAAGTGACCATGAAGAAATGAAATGCTCAAATCTCCAAAATCTTTAGTATGTATCAAATCTACATGGTAAAAGACCAAAATCAATATTAGTACTTTATCAAATCTAATTAGAATCTGCAAACATTCAGACTACGTACATCCATTAAAATGTAGCAGTTAACAACTACACTAAAGTTTGAATGCAGAAGCCCAGATCATACTAACTAATCAAATCAATCATGCGCCATGGTGAGAAAGAAGCCCGTGAGCCTGTGATTGGGAAGAGATAGTATAGCAGCTACTGCCCATATATAGGAAGATGGAGTACATCTCTGCGCTAGCCGCCGGCAAACAGGGCGACCTCAACCTCTACGTTGCCCCAAGCGGCGCGTCGTCTTCGTACGTCCTCAGCCAGGGCGGTCGCCCTTGGCCACTCTCTATCGCCGCCATGCGGACGACGGACGAGAGAGGCTGCATCGGCGACAGTGGCTGCTGCTGAGAAGAGATGTTGATATGATCTGAGCCGGTGAGCTGACGGGCCCAGAGCCATCGAGCGAGTCGCGACTCCTCCGTCCTATTTGCGCTGCGCTTGGAGCCATGCACAGCCATGCACAGCGAGACGTTCGATCCTAAGGTTGTCCACGTAGCAACCATCGGGGTCGGGGCTGCACGGGAGCCGGTTTACACCCGGTCTCCACCAAATTTTTTTCCGAAGAGTAGTGTATAGACTATAGAGAGGAAAGTGATTTGCTTTCTCCGTTTCACAATGTAAGACTTTCTAGCATTACCCACATTCATATAGATGCTAATGAATCTGGATATTATTATATAAATAGATTCATTAGCATCTATATAAATATGGACAATGCTAGAAAGTCTTACATTGTAAAATGGAGGGAGTATTTATTATCACTACATGGAAATTATCTTTGATTTTGCATTTCACTTCAAACTTCAAAGGTGGCATGATGCATCAACATGTGGCATACAGGATTCAAAATTTCGGATTTTGGAAAATTTTGGTTCTATCGGACCCCCCCCCCCCCCCGATATGATATTATTTTGGCTGAAATTTTTAATTTTTTTCATGAATTTGGTAATATTTTATTCAAATTTTGTTTAAAAATTCATATAATTCGGACCGAAATTTTCACCCTACAAATGACCAAACCGAAATATTAAACGCTCGTGGCATATCGTTACATAAAACATGCAAACTCAACATATGTAAAATAATAATAATATTCAGTTCAAACAGTACGTGTTAGTTTGGTCGAATTCAAATATGGATTGATATATCTTATAATGGGTCTATTATATTAAAAAAAAGTTGTTTTTTAACTTTTTGGTTGACAACGTTCCCTAGAAAGAAAAAATTCCACCTCCGCCTATATAGATCGAGTGTTATAGACCATATTGCATATGAGAAGAGGAAAACAAATTCCTACAAAAATGTTTCTGCGTTTTTTTTAGATAAAATGTTTCTGCATGTTCTAGACACACGGTTGTTGCTTAATTTAGTGCTTAGTTATAGTAAAGAATAGCTTCTCTACTTATTAGATGAAAACAGATATATAAGTTGAGAATTGAAATTTACAGGTGATGAATATGCATGGTTTTTTTTTTTTTGGAAACTATGCATGGTTATTCAGATTGCAGAGCTTATAGGTGAAGTCGTAAATATGTTGCATTGATGACAAACTTTTTTGGGCAACTGAAACATCTTTTGCCACAGCCTTGGCGAATACTTGGACCAAATTCTTCAATTTTTGTTTGCTGCTTTGCCACAAAATTTTAGTTAACGGCTATGGTTGATTGAAAAATTTCATCCAATATTTTGTTTAGGAAACATTAGACACATCAGAGTATCAACTTAGACCTTGTTCGATTAACTCCTTACAAACATTGCTGTAGTCAAAATTTTGTAAGGATTTTTTATTGGTGTAGTAAAAATTTTGGAAGAGTTATTTAAAGTTCGTATAGCATCCTAAAAAATATTAAGTACCGAATGTTTGTAATTAAACATAAGTTGTCGGCGGGGCCGCAGGCGCAGTGTCGACGACAGGAGCTGATCCGGCTGCCGAAGAGGTCTCCTTCTCGGCGGCTGATCCGGCCGCTGGATAGGTGTTCTTATCGGCGGTTGATCCGGCCACCGCAGAGGTCTCCTTGTCGACGGTTGATTCGGCTGCTGGAGAGGTCTCCTTATCGGCGGTTGATCCGGCTGCCGCAGAGGTCGCCGTGTCGACGGTTGATTCAGCCGCTGGAGAGGTCTCCTTATCAGCGGTTGATCCGGCTGCCGCAGAGGTCGCCGTGTCGGCGGTTGGTTCGGCCGCTGGAGAGGTCTCCTTATCGGCAGTTGATCCGGCTACCGCAGAGGTTGCCGTGTCGGCGGTTGGTTCGGCCGCTAGAGAGGTCTCCTTATCGGCAGTTGATCCGGCTGCCGCAGAGGTTGCCGTGTCGGCGGTTGATTCGGCGGCTGGAGAGGTCTCCTTATCGGCAGTTGGTCCGGCTGCCGCAGAGGTTGCCGTGTCGGCGGTTGATTCGGCCGCTGGAGAGGTCTCCTTATCGGCAGTTGATTCGGCCGCCGGGTAGGCGTTTTTGTCGGCGGTTGATCCGGCTGCCGCAGAGGTCGCCATGTCGACGGTTGATTCGGCCGCTGGAGAGGTCTCCTTATCGACAGTTGATTCGGCCGCCGGAGCGGTCTCCTTGCCTTCGGTTGATCCTTTTGCCGCATAGGCTACCTTATCGGCGGTTGATCCGGCTGTCGTCGTGGCCTTGGTCCCCGTCGTCTTCGTCAAAGGATACAAATCGTCGAGCACCGCATCGGTGAAATCCAGGAAGTCCCACATGCGCGAGAACACCGAGACGACGTTGAGCTTCTTGGCGTCCTTGCACGAGCCGTCGTCGCAGCACGTCTTGCAGAGAGGCGGGCGGCTCACGCCGCCGGCGGGGCCACGGAGCAGCTGCGAGAAGCTGGCGTGGATGGCGAGGAGCCATTCGTCCTCGGGGACCTTGACGGTGTTGACGCCGGCGCCGGAGGGCTTCAGGGCGTCGGTCACGGCGGTGCTAGCCTGGACGCAGCTGTCGAGGCACTTGTCGGGCTTCTTGCACTCCTGCACGGCGGCGATGGCGTCCTTGGTGAACTGCTCCGCCGAGAACCCGACGCTGGAGATGCACAGCTTGGCGAGGCCCTTGGCGTCTTTCGTCTCTGCAAACTCGGGCGGCAGGACCTTCACCAGTTGCTGGCACGCCTTCTCGTCCGTCGTCTTGGGGCACACGGCCTCCTTGTTGAAGATGTTGGGGTCAGGGACGGCGCCCGCGGTTGATCCGGCCGCTGCAGAGGTCTCCTTGTCGGCCGCCGCAGCGGTCTCCTTGCCAGCGGTTGATCCTGTTGCCGCATAGGCCTCCTTATCGGCGGCGCCGGCATCGGCTGCCGCGACGAGGACAGCATGGAGGAGGAGGAGGAGGAGTGTCGCCATTGCGGGAGAGGCGGCCATGACTGGGCTAGCTATAGCTTTGTCGATCGATCGAGATGATTTTGCTGGGATGAATTAAGAGGCTGTGGTTACGCGTTATTATATAGGCTAATTGAATAGCGTTTTTCGCGGGTATGGAGTGGTATTTGGCAGGAGAGCTTCACAAGTGTTTGGTTCAGTTTGGTCGTCAGTAGCCTCCGTTCATTCAGAGTACGTGTTTGCTCCTCTCTTGTTTTCTATTTTAAGTCATTATTAGTTCTATTTTTAGCGAGTAGCGAAAGTGGCCGTAAATTAATTAATGGGTATGCTTACCACAGAATAGGTAATCGATATCCCCTCATAGTTCTTGCCAGTTGAACCCAAATAATCAAGCAGCAGTTAACTTTTTTTTTCTTTGCTCAATAGCTTATTAGGACGTAATTAATTAATTATTAGCTAAAAACTTAAAAATGGATTAATATGTATTTTTACAACAACATTTCTTTAGAACATTTTTAAAAGCACACTATTTAATAATTTGAGAAGCATATGCTCAAGAAAAACGAGCGGAAGGTGGGAAGAGGGAGGTTAGAATATAGTCTTAACTTACTGCCTTGTTATATTTGGGTTTTTTTTACACATTTGTGATATTTCATGGTAGCTTTTTTTAAAGGTTAATTAGATTCATGCCATTATAAATTTGTCAGTTTTGAAATATACCGTTAGTATTCAACTATTTGTAACCATACCATTATAATTTCGTGGTTATTTGGTTTATGCCACTACCTACTCCTTTATTGTATTTTCTAAACTTTTTGGACAAAATTACCCCATCTTCTTGAACCTCTCCTCTCTACTGTTCATCTTCCCCATCACTGCATCTGACAAGGTCATTTGGCACAACGGCCTGCGCAGTGCTGTCTGACGCTCCGAATTCTAACGGCAGATGCGCACGGCTCGACCCAATCAGGGAGCAACAGGGAGGCATCGCCAGCGATGGGATTTGAGTCTTTGTCTTCGTCGTGGTCTTCAAGCAGCAAACTAGCCCCAGCAAGCTCATTCGTTGATCCCTTCATCTTCAAGCAAGCAGCCCGTGGCAACCAGCAGCCACATATTGAGCCTCCATCAGGTCTTCGGCGCCCAGTCGCCGCCGTCGTCGTCCACAACGGCAAGCCGCTCCGTCCGCAGCGGCTCTAGATCCAGGTCTTTGCATCGTAAGCACCGCCGCTCGTCGTCGTGGGTCCCCTTGCCGCCGGTGCAGCACACCGCTATTTTTGGCCTCCTGTCGAGCTAGCAGAAGCATCAAACGTCCTTGCCATCTATCTTGAATCGATCTAGAGCAGCAGCAGCATGAGCAGAGAAAGATGACAGGCCGGATGAGGGAGGAGAGGGAGGTAGAAGATGAGGGTGTTTTCGTCCAATGCATGTAAAATACATATCATAATGGTATCACTGAGATTACAAATAAACAACAATGGCATAGTTACAAATACACAAATAGTAATGGCATATTTCAAAACTAGCAAATCTTTAATGTTATTCTGTTAATAAAAAATGTTTATTAACTAATTACTTCGTGTCAAGTAAAAAGAAAATTCATCCCGCCATCCACAACTCTGCCTCTCCATCTAACCTCTCTCTCCTAGTCTCCTTCTCCCTATGTTGTTGCTCAATCTTCTGCACTCCCCCTCCCTTCCTCCCTATTTTACGACTCTCACACTCCTCTCCAGCGACAACACTGTTACAGCCACTGTTCACCATACGGCAGCAGACAATCTGATCAGACGGAAGCCATGTTCATCCCGTGTGCGTCAGCATAGCGAGCAAAATTGCTTGGCCCGAATAGGTTGAAGTTCCAACTGTATCCGGTGCATCTATATAAGCCTGGATGAAGGGAGGAGAGGGGTATGAAAATTGTAAACACTAAACTACTTCCCAAAACTCAATACATCTACCTCTTCTCCAAGACACTATACTCTGTTCTTCGTGTTCTTCTTTATCCTGCCAATTTCCCCTCCAATCTCTCTCTCTCTAGATCTCCGGCCCCTACATGGAAATTATCTTTGATTTTGCATGTTTTTCAAAGGTCATAAAAAAATTGACACGATGCATCAACATGTGGCATACAGCTGGCACATATATGATATGCCAGTATTTTTGACATGCAAACTCGAATTTCCAACATATGTGAAAAATTAATAATTTTGAGTCCAAACAATACGTGTTATTTTTGTTATTTTTTTCCATTTTGTATAGGTTGAATTCAAGCATGGATTGATATATTATATATGGGTCTATTATATCAAAAAAAGTTATAAGTTTTTCTTGACATGTACAAAACGAGTAAACGTTCCCTTGAGAGAAAAAATTCCACCTCCACCTATATAGACCATATTGCGTATCAGAAGAGGAAAACAAATTCCTACAAAAATGTTTATGCGTGTTTTTTTAGATAAAATGTTTCTGCATGTTCTGGACACACGGTTGCTGCTTCATTTAGTGCTTTGTTATAAAGAATAGCTTCTCTTCTTATTAGATGTAAAAAGATATATAAGTTGAGGATTGAAATTTACAGGTAATGAATATGGTTATTCAGTTTGCAGAGCTTATACATGAAGTCGTAAATATGTTGCATTGATGCCAAACTTTTTTGGCAATTGAAACATCTTTCACGACAGCCTTAGCGAATACTAGGACAAAATTCTTCAAAAAAAAATGTTGCCACACTTTGCTATGCCACAAAGTTTTAGTTAACGGGTATGCATGGTTGATTGAAAATTTCCATCCAATATTTTGTTTAGGTTTAGTTCATTAGGTACATCGTCAGAGTATCAACTTAGAACTTGTTCGACTAACTTCTATGAGAAAAGGATTGGAGAGGATCAATCTCCTCCAATTAACTGTGTGTTGGTGCTGGTCCGCTTAGCGGCAGTCGGTCCGGTGCTAGCTTTCTCCTGGTTCTGTGTGTTGGCGCTGTCGGTGTGTGGGTGTTGGTATAATTTTTTTTGTTTTTCCTGGTTACGACCTTCTAGGGTTGTAATCTTGTAATTTTTTCCTGCTCTATCAATAGAACTTCGCACCGTCTTGTGAGAGTCGTTCCAAAAAATTCCCCACCAATTAACTATCAATTCTCTTGGGAGAGATTAACCAACCAAAGTCTTGAATGAGGAATCATCTGTTGTTAGATTGGCTTGAGATGGTGTTTAAAAGGCTATGATTTATCCAGAGCACAACTAATACAAGATGTACTTTGACACAAGGGATAATGAATATAGGACCGTGAAAAAGCTAATACGGTATATATTTCAGTACAAAGTGATAAATATTTAGTACAAAATTGCTCATGTACAGACATTAGTACCCTTGACCACGTCAATTGAATTCGAGCATGTGCCTTGCTTAAGCCCGGTTTAGATGGCAAAATTTTTTGTTTTGAGGTGTCACATTGGATATAAGGACACACATTTGAAGTATTAAATTTTATCGAATAATAAAACAAATTACATATTCCGCTTAGAAACTGCGAGACAAATTTATTAAGCCTAATTAATATGTCATTAGCAAATATTTACTGTAGCACCACATTGTCAGATCATGGTGTAATTAGGTTTAAAAGATTCGTCTCGCAATTTACACGCAAACTGTGTAATTGATTTTTTTCCACATTTAATACTCCATATATGTGTCCAAACATTTGATGTGATAGGTGAAAAGTTTTTGTTTTGGGAACTAAACAAGACCTTATATTGGTAAATTTATGTGCACTTCTGGTTTATAAGTTAGATATATTATTCTAACTCTATTTTTCCATGTGTCTTTCTTATATTGGTGAATTTTGAATATGCACTTTTGGTTTATCTATACTACCTTAAAAGCGGACTTGTCCTCCTTTCATCCCCTCCTCCCATCGAAGTACCCATCTAGATCTAATGCTTTATTCTTAATCACCCTCCTAACCCATCTTTACTACTTAAAAAGTTCCTAGTGGTGGTGGTGAGTCCTGGACAATCGAACGGCTGACATGTTTTCTAGGATCCTCGCACCAAATCGACGCTCCAGACGCTCCTATCCGCCCGCACCATCGCGCTCCAATCGTGCTCCAACTACCCAGTACGCCCTGGCCTTCCGGCTTCCGCGCGCCCGCTCGCTTTTCGCCGCATTCTCGCCACCCTTCCTCTCGCCCGCTCGCCCTCGCCGTCCTCCTCGACCAGCTGATCCTCCCCGCCGTCCCACCGTCCTCCCCCACCGTCCCGCGCCACCGCCGCCATCGATCCTCCCCGCCGCCCACGCCGTCCTCCACCAGATCGCTCCCCCACTGCCGCCACCATCGATCGTCCCCGCCGTCCTCGTCGCCGCCATCGCCGTCTTCCCCCACCAGCTTCGACGCCATAGATCCTCCCCGCCGCCCTCTCTTTCATCCTCCACCAGCTCCCTCCCCCACCGTCACCGTGATTCCCCTAACCGACCAGCGCCGCCGCCTCCATCGATCCTCCCCGTCGCCCTCGCCGATCTCCTCCACTAGGTCCCTCCCGCACCGCTGCCGCCGCCGCAAACGCCGCCCACGATCTCCGCCCCGACGACCGGCTCCGCGCTGCCACTCGTCCCGATCCCCTCTCGTCCTCCTCCGCATCGCCCCCAATCTCTCCTCGATCGTCTCCCGCCACCACCACCGCCACCGCTACCACCGATCTCAGCCGAGCGCTACTGTTCCCTTTGCCGGAAGCTCCACCACCGCCCCGCGCAGATCGACGTGCTGTTGTCCCCGGCCCTCAAGCTCCATCGCCACCCATCCGCTGCAAGCTCTGCCGCCAGGTCACCATCGATGACCACCACGCCTCCTCTCTTTTCCTCCGCCCACGGCTCTGGATGGAGTAGCATCCGCAAGGTGACTCGCCTGCGAGACGAGATGGAAAAGGGAAGAGACCACCTTGCACTCAAATCCATCGCCGCCGGTGGTCAATATGCCCAGAACTGCACAACTTCTACTGCGGCCTCCTGCAATGAGCAGACCCTCCGGCCGCCTCCTTGCCATGGCTGACGACGAGGTGATCAGGTAAAGAGTTTTTTTACCACTATCTCTCTGGCATAAGCATTTGTCTTGGTGAAGCACCTTGGCAGCTCTTCCCTTGCTCATCATTTTCTACCGACTTCTAACAAGAGAAGTGTGTGTTGCATCTTCATGACATTGTAGAAGTGTGTGTTGCATCTTCATGACATTGTAAAGGGATAACACTGTTCATCTGATATGTGTGTTTCGTGCTATTGGACCGTACTTCGGAAAGTGCTATTGGACCGTACTTCGGAAAGAAGCTGGACCTAGAGCTTATATATGGCAAGAAGTGGCAGTGCTCGAAGGAGGCTGCCCTGGACTCAAGTACTGTGAGCACTACATACCCCTTAGATCTCAGGTGATTGTTCATTCTTTTTTTCTCAAATGCCATATTTCAGTGGCATGTTATATACTCTTTGATTTTCTAAAAAAAAGTACAATTGTCTAACTGATTGGTGTCATATGTATGCAGTGATGCCTTTGTACATTTGTGATTGGTTAATTATCGTGTTACATACTTACATTTGTTTGCTTCAGTGGCAATTAAACCATCAGTTCATGCTCGTTTGATGCTACAAATATTTGATTTGTAAATCATCTATTTGATTCTAATCCATGTGAGAATCAGAACAAATTAATTGCTCCTGAACTGATCTTCTATGTTAGGTGTTAGATTTGAAATGACCAAATTTGTACATGTATTTTTTTACATATACATGTCAAATGATTTTGTGGGAGTAAGGGTGTGTCCCTAAGGTATTATTTATCTGTGACTATGTCTTTGTAATTGGTTGATTACATTGCCAATAGAATTTTTCAAAATTAAGAGTTTGTTATGCCACACCTCTCTGCTACTTCGTCCTATTTTTGTTTTTATCATAGATTGGACCATTGATTTTATCCATGGCAATCACTTCAATTTTTATGGTTTCTCATGGTTAATGTGGTTCATTTTCTTTTGTGACTTGATTTGCTCTCAACCTAAGGCATCAATTATCATGTAGGTACTACATAGCGTTATATCACACTTACATGTGTTTGTCCATCAATATATTGTTTATAATAGCTTAAGCATTATGGCAAGGACCGTTAATTTTTATGTATGGTTCCTGATCAGTTAGGAAGTCCTATACTCCTAGAGGTGATATGTCAGTCAATATGTTGTTTTTTGATAGAGAGGGGTGACTGAGCAACTAGGCAAGCATCTGAATATTGATATGCTCTGTTGTGATCAAAAGCACATAGCCCTCTGCCAGATAATCTAACCATGATGCTCTGATGTGATCAAAAGCCCATAACCCACTACTATGTTTTACTACTTTCATATTAATGGAGATACCAGCTGCATGGAGTGGTATTGTGGTTTCTCAGCCATGGCAATGTGGGTATGTAAACAGTTGTCACATGAGCTGTACATTTTCTATCTCTTTTTGTGCATATGTTAGATTAATGAAGGAAGATACACACAACATCTGGCTGGCCCCTGTTGTTGGTTTGAGAATAGTGCTTTCTCTGAGATGATAATGAGATTACAATTGGTTTTTGGACCCTAACATGATTGCATTAAGTTGTCATAAATAATCGAAGTATTTGCTATAGTTTCTTTTAGAGTTTATGTCAATATCAAAACAAAAATGTACTCTTTAGTTCTTTATATTTGATATGTACATGCTTCTGAAATTAAAGTTTGGGTGTGATCGTCTGAATCACTGGATACTGCATATTGCAAACATGTTGACAATTATGGAACAGCTCATCAATGTTGAAAATTAAATTGTCACTAACTTTCTCTATACTTGATAGGATGCATAATGATGCTTTTGTTGTTATTCTGCAGCAGTGCTCCTTAGTCCTTACTTTATTTAGCAAAGAAGAGGGCCTTTGACATTTTATTGCTTAGTGATATGAGTTTAATCATTTCTACTGAAGCAGAAGATTATGCTCCACTAAATGCTTCTCTTGTAGTTCTATTTGCTGATGCTGTCAAAGGATCTCTGCTATTTACTAATATATATAGTACAAACAAGGACATTGGAATTGATCTTCCATTTACTGTCATCTGTTAGATGAGAACGTTGCAGGTTATGTCTTCGAGGTCATCAAGTTATTAGGTATGCGGAACCATCTTCTGCAGTCATCAAATGTTTCACAATTTCTAACCCAGTTGTTATATGTTTCAGGAAATAATGAACCGCTGATCATTGCTCTATTCAAGTAATTTTTATAAGCATCATTTACATAGTTGTGATGTGATTTTTTGGATAAATTTGGTTCTGTGGCATATCTTCCATGGCTTCTGCGTGCCTTTTTGATAAAACTTATTATGTGACATATCTTCCATGGCTTATGTTCCCTGTTTTCCCAATCTAACCGAGCAGCAAAGCTTGAAGGATATGCAGCAAATAACCAATTTTTCTTCAACAACTATTGATTTTTCAAAATGGCGTTAAATTTGCATACTTTATATAATTAAATTGGTCATTGATGGTTTTGTAGTAATTCTTTACTTGGTCTTAGAATGTACTGAAATATTCTTCTTTTTCCATTTAATTAATATTTTAGTTCCTTGGTAATTATAATTATAGAGTGTGATTTGAAAATTTGAAGAAATGAAGAGTTGAACAGGGTGAAATGCTTTGCATGAACATTACTTTAGGGCTTCAGACCTTCAGTTCCATGTTGTTTGTTTGTAAAGAGATTCAAATTTTAGAATGTGTAGTGTTGGAATAATGAAAATATATGTTATATATGAAGGCCACTGTTTCATTGAGTTGTTAAAGGAGTAGGGTACAGACGGTACAGAGTTGTTGGCATGGAAAGCAAATGAGGGTGCTGAGCAAGACTCACCTCGGAAGGCAAGGTCCAAACACATATGTTACATCCAGCCTATGTTTTTTTTTATTACAAATGGAAATTATATTTTTAGTTGATCAGAAGATAGCTTTGGGTATATATGGGACATGTAAGTATGAAGTATTCTTTACAAATTTGAAGGCCATACTGATACTGTTGATCATCTTAGTTTCCTATTGGTCAGAACAAATTTAAATATGGTCAATGGTGAGAGCTAAGATCTGAAATTGCTACTGTATGTCCTATGAGTATTGAATTATATTTTTTGTTTTTTCATTGTTAGATGGGATTACAATCTAATCTATTCTATAATGGTACAATGATCACTTGTAGCTATTTGTATCTAGATGAACGTTTGTAGTCTTCATCGTATATTGTACCTAAATTAATGTGAGTTGAGGCAAAGTTGGTGTTATTTTTTCCCGTTGCAAAGCACGGGCACCCAACTAGTTACTAATTATATAGCTTGGTCCATTACTACGTAATACGTTACTAGTAGTAATGTAAAATACGTAGAGGCGCCTACAAATCGGGCGCCTGATTTTTAAATTTTTTTTCAAAAATCGGGCGCTGTTTCACCAAGTAGATTGAACATGTTTCACTAAGTAGATCAAAAATATTTTAATCTTGTAAAAAGCTGAAACACAACCAAATCACCTCATTAAATATTTTGGTACAATGTATGAAACAACGGTTTCCAAAAAATCGGGTATTATTTCACCCTATATAAAAACAATGTTTCAGCAAATAGCGAAAGAATGTTTCACTTCTTAAAAAAAAGTGAAACACAGTAAGATCACTGGATGAAACAATTTGGTTCAAACGTATGCAACAAACGATTTTAAAGCCATTGCAACACTTACACCCTGTGTACATGAACAAACAACGTGTCCATTAAGATGAAATTATGAAACAGTATCAAAAATCCGCTGCAACATTTCATCCATACATAGTGAAACATCACGAGTACACTAGCTGAAACATTGTTGATGGAACAAAAAATGAAACAAATCCCCCTAACAGGACGTTTCCGTTATATCCAGACGATTGTTGCAAAGGGCGCAAATGGTGGGGACACGTGGTGGGGGCGTGTGGGAGGCGAGGCGGAGGCGAGCATGGGTGGCGCCCGATTTTTTTCGCCGCATCGGGCGCCTGATTTTGAGCATTCTCGAAGTAACACTTTACCCGTACAACTATACAAGCATGCAAAAGAGCAATCCAATTTTCACTTAACTATAACAAGCGTCTGTTTTTTTCCCTATCGCACTACTACTTTGCAATATATGCCGGGCTTATACAAAGAAAATTTCCGCATGGCCGGCGGTTTTGTAGGTTTTCTAGTTTGAATCGATTTTCTTTATATTACTTCTCATAAAAAAATAGAGAGATACGAATTCGATCTGCCGACTTTTAAACCTCCCTTCCTCTTTTCCCGCGATCGACGAGGCAGCAGTTCGCATGGATGACGGCGAGGCGGCGCGACGTCATCGCCATCGGGCCATCTCCGGCGGCCTGACGGCGCTGGCCGTCCGCCTCGCCGACCGCCTCGGCGCCGCGAGCCCCGGCCGCAACCTGGCCTTCTCGCCGCTCTCCGTCCACGCAGCGCTCTCCCTCGCCGCCGCCGGCGCGGCCGGCGGCACCCTCGACGAGATCCTCGCCGTGCTCGGCGCGGCGTCGCGCGATGACCTGGCGGCGTTCGTCGGCCGCACGGCCGAGACGGCGCTCGCCGACAGGGGCCCGGAGTCCCTCGGGCCGCGCGTCGTGTTCGCGCCCGGCGTCTGGTGCGACGCCGCGCGCCCGTTCAAGCCCGCCTACCGCGCCGCCGTCGCCGCCGAGTACAACGCCGAGGCCACCGTCGTCGACTTCAAGAACAAGGTTGGTTATAGCATACTCATCGATGCATTTATTCTTTTACTTGATCCATCCATGATCGATCAATGTGTTCTTGATTTGGTTTCTGAGAAGGCAGAGGAAGCGAGGAAGCAGATCAACGCGTGGGCGCGGCGGGCGACGGGGAAGCTCATCACCGACGTCCTACCGCCGAGATCCGTCGGCCCGGAGACCGCCGTCGTGCTCGGCAACGCCATCTACTTCAAGGGCAAGTGGGATCGTCCCTTCAATGAGAGCGACACGGAGAGGAAGCCGTTCTACCGCCACGACGGCGCCGCCGCCGCCGCCGCCGTCGCCGACGTGCCCTACATGTCGAGCCGTTCCTACCAGCGCGTCGCCGTGCACGACGGCTTCAAGGTGCTCAAGCTCCGCTACCGATCGCCGCGACTCCTCCGCGACAAGCGCAAGCGCGGCGGCGGCGGCGATGTCGGCGGCGAGTTCACGCGGTACGCCATGGCCATCTTCCTCCCCGACGCGCGCGACGGGCTGCGCGGCCTCGTGGAGAGGATGGCGTCGCGGCCGGGGTTCCTGCACGAGCACATGCCGGCGGCGTGGCCAGTGCCCGTCGGCGAGTTTCGGGTGCCCAAGTTCAAGGTGTCATGCGGCGGCAGCGTCGTCGGCGCCCTCGAGCAGCTGGGCCTCCGGCTGCCGTTTTCGCCGGAGCTCGCCGACCTGTCCGACATGGTGGAGGACGACGGCTCCGGCTGGCCGTTGTTCGTCGGCGACATCCAGCACAAGGCGGTGATCGAGGTGAACGAGGAAGGAACCGTGGCTGCCGCCGCCACCATGACAAGGATGCTTCCTTCCGGTGTGCCGCCGCCGCCGGTGGACTTCGTCGCCGAACATCCGTTCGCCTACTTCATAGTGGAGGAGATGTCAAGTGCGGTCGTCTTCGCCGGACACATCGTCGACCCGTCGATGGAATGAAATATGATGTAAATTTTCATGTGAAATTGGTCAAAAACACAGTAGAAGGATACGCTTCCAAACGATGAACAATGATGGATAATTATCTCTCATATACGTATGTTTCTTTTTCCAAATTATCTCTCATATATGTATGAATTATAGCCTGATCAGAGAGAAAAGTAGATACCATAGATATACAGACAAATGCAATGGAAGATCTGCCTACCAGAAATTTTACAGGATCACAACACACCACATTGCAACATGCCTAAAAACGATGGAAATGGAGAGAATCCTTACACTACTTGCAAATAAAGCTGGGCTGATATGTGCCATTTCTTACAAGAAAACCAGCTTCCAAGAAAACAGAAAAATACAGAACTTGAATAATCTTCCGGATGGCAAAATACCATTGTTCCAGGACTTATTAACAGGATTTAAAGCATTATGCAATTACAGAACTACAGTATCCAAAAAAATATAGATATCTGAGAAAACCTGCAATCACGGATTCACCAGTTGTGCAGCATGCAGCTTCATGTTCTTCAGATCCATGCAGGACTATACTGAATTAGGACCACTCGTACACACGAAGCTTAGTGACATGTTTCATCTTCTCGTGCATTCGTTTCTTGTTCCACTCAGCTTTGAAGTCATTGTGCAAGCCTAGAAGGGTGAGTTTCTTAAGGGAGCTAAGGGATTCAATGCCTTCAGGGACGCTCTTTAGATTTGACAATGACACAATGTATAAACCTTCGATACATTTAAGGGCGTCAGCTCCAATTTTCAGAAGATTGACATTGGACATGTTCCTCAAGACGAGTGTCTTCAGCAGCGGAAACGACTTTGCAGGAAGAACCAAAGTGTGTGCACCATTGGTATGCACCTTGTTAAGACTCAAATATGTCAGGTTCGGCACACACTTTTCGAGCCTCTCAAATGCATCATGCCCAAGGTGACACCGGCTTAGAGCTAGATACTTCAGGCGTCGTCCATGGTCCTGAAACACCGGGCACTCAAGTGTGCTCTCACTGGTGCATCCTCTGATAATTAGCTTTTGGAGCATTGTGGATGTCGGTACGAGTTTTTCGATGTTAAGTTTCTCCTCCTCATCACTTGCACACAGAAGCAAGCTATAAAGAAGCGGCATCTTAGACAATGAAGCAAGCAGCTGTGCACAGTGCCCAGCTTTTATATTGCCGATCCAGAGATTTCTTAATTGGATCATTTTTTCAAGATGTTCCCCCAAGTCCTTGCTAGCTTCTACAGTCTCAAGTGTCTGCAGTTCTTCCAACCTCGATAACCCTTTTGGTGCTACCACTCCTTCGAAATACCGGAATTCCGTTCTTGTACCATCACTTAATCTGTCAATCAGCAAGTGTCTTAACTTATAGAGCTTCACTATCCCACTAGGTAATTTTTCTATCTTGGTTGACTTAGCATCAAGAGTTTGAAGATTCACGAGCTTCTCTATAGAGTCCGGTAGAGATTTTACTGCTGTGTTCCTTAGGCCAATGTACCGTAAGTTAAAAAGATCCCCTATCGATGCTGGGACTTGGTTGATTCCTGAGTCTTGCAGCTCAAGGACAGTAAGGTGCTTAGATTCAGATAATATTGATGGTACAAAATCCATACTTGACTGGAGTGCAATTACGGTTCGAAGATGTGGGAATTTTATCTTTGATAAATCATGTTCTGTGTGTGTCCATCGACATGCTGACAGGCGACGCACATTTGTGTTCATCTGTGCCATCTCACTAAAATTGTTTGCGGTGCCAAACAACTCTGCTTTGGAGATAGAAAGAGCCAGCTCTCTCAGAATGTCATGCATGCTGCATGTACTAACCCTGCCAAGCTCATCATTATACACGAGTTGAAGCATGTTTCGATGAACCAGCTCCATGAGATATCCCTCTGCCACCTCCTCCAGAGTGCTGTCCCCTTTCTTTTCCACAAAACCTTCCGCAATCCACTGTCTCACAAGAACCTCCCTTGACAAGAGGTAATCTTCTGGGAACATGCTGCAGTACAGAAAGCAATTTCTGAGCTCTCCAGGCAAGTCATAGTAGCTCAGAGTTAGAACTCCTCGGACCTGATCATCCTTCTCCAGCTCACATGGAAGCTGATCATGAATCTGCTTCCACACACACTCTATTTGCATCCTTGCAGACAGCAAGCTGCCTACTGAAGCAATTGCAAGCGGCAAGCCCCCACATTTCTTTACAATCTCAATGGCGAGCTTCTGCAACTCTGCTGAGCATTTCACCAAAGGCAAGAGCTCACATTTCTTTAAAATATCAGTAGCAAGCTTCTGAAGCCCAGATGGATTATTTTCCATCTGTAATAAGTCCTGGCAGTTCTTTACAATATAAGCAACTAGCTCTTGAACCTGTGCTGGGCTATTTGCCAAAGGCAAACAGTTGCATTTCTCTGCAATATCAGTAGCTAGCCCATTTAGCTCCAATCGGCACTCTGTCAGTGATGAGTCATTGCTTTTCTTAGCAATGTCTGTGGCTAGGTCCTTGAGCTTTAAGGGGCACTCAAGGTCATTGCTATTAGGAAATGCCTTTTTACTGAACAGGAGGAGGGCATCGTTCAATTCTAACGGATTAAGTTTGAGCTGGCAACCCTCGTGAGCAAGAGCAGCCACATCCCCTCTCCTTGTCGTGATCACAACGCGACTTCCATTCCTAAAATCCTCAAACACATCATGCATCATGTCAAATACTTGACGGTCCCATACATCATCAAGTACAACCATAAATCTCTTTCGCATTAATGCTTTCTTTAACTCATCCTTCAGTTCTTTCAATTGTGAAACCTCCAGTTTGTCAGTCTCATCTGAAGCCTGCTGCTCCTTGTTGACACTATCACCATCACCTGGTGTTGTGAGCTCACATCTACGCCTTATCTCCCATAATAGCTTCCTCAGCAAAGCCTCCACAGAAAATGCTTGAGACACAGTAAGCCACACATTAATGTCAAATTTCTCCTTATGTTGCTCATATACATTAAGGACCAATGTGGTCTTCCCCATGCCACCCATACCCCACACAGATATCACCCTGAGAGCTGAAATTCCATGACTGAATAATTGCTTTAAGTGTTGTCTGTTATTCTCCATCCCCACAAGATCCTCATCTTTCATTAGTCGGGGAAAACTGTACTGAGGAAATCGGTGTTCAGAGATGGTGACTTGAGTAGGAATAAGCTGACTGACAGGGTAAACCCACATGTCCTTCAACTTTGAAACATGCTCAATATCCTTCTCTATCTGAACCAACTCATCAGCAATTGCATTAAAAACAACAGCATAGTGTGATCCCTTAACAATCTTATTCAGGAACTTATCTTTCTTGAATTGAATAGAATGGTAGAAAAAGCTGTCCAATACATCCTCAACACGGTACGCCAGCATTCGCACCTCTGCGATCCATCCCTTCAGGAGCTCATCGCTGAGGTAAGAGGCACCCATTTTCCGTATAAAGAAGTTCATCATCAAAAATTGCCTCCGTATCCGTTGCACAGTAGCTGAGAGCTCCATTAGATTAGAAATTTTGGATTTAGCAACCATGGCCGCTTCAATTGCTGCATAGGAACCAATCTTTGAAAGAGCAAGTAGTGCAGCTTCCGCCATCTATGCTGAAAAGATAAAAAGCAAGTCTCTTGCAGATTACATAATGTGGTATGCCATGGTATATATGCTGAAACATTAAGCGAGAAAAACAATTTTGCATAAAACTTCTTCCAAACGTAATATTGTCATGGTTTTTCCTCAATTGTGTGCATAATGTAAACATACAAGAAATAAACTCATCATACAAGTCTAGGCAATTAAGTTTTCTTAATGTTCTTTAGCAATGATTCTTATGAGAAGTGGAGGACAATATGAATTGACTGAATTGGTGACAATGGTTTCTTTGGATGCACAAAGAGACCGGTCATACCACAGCAAGCTATATCCTTATCATAAGTCTCAGGAATATCAAAGAGAAGCAGCTCTCAAAAAACAGAGGTGACAGAAGTTAGATCTGCCCCAGGACGTAATACAATCAGAGCAGACTTTAGCAAACGCGGTGTCGCAAAGAAAGACTAGAGAACAAGCAAAATTCCCTCCCTTATTTTTTCCTTCTGTGCTCAGCTCGGCAATTCGTCGAGCAGGACGCGTGCGAGCCCAGCAAGCACGTAGGGGCCTGAATCCGGCTACCCCGCTACCGGCATCTGCGTGGTGGTTGCCCCCGCCGGCCGTTCCAAGACCCGTAGGCAGGCGCGGCCATGCGGGAGGGCAGTAGCATGGGCGAGGCCACGGCCGCCGCCGCCGCCGCCGCCGCTGGCGAGGCCGACGCTGCGCCGCGGCACACAGAGAAAGGGGCTTTTTTTTTTTTCCTACAGTTTCATCTCCATTTCAGCAGAAATGGAAACGAGCAGCTCAATCAAGCACACGGCGGGCGCAATATAAGCGACAGATCAATCCAACCAAAACAAATCAACAAAGAAAAAAATCGATGGTTAGGCAACCAAGAAGATCAAGCATTCGTCGCGCCCGTACGTACCTGGCAACGATGCAGAGCGAGCCTCTCCAATGGCGGCCTCCCCCCTCCGTTTGACCTCGCTTGGGTCCTCGCAAACAAGCTGATACTACTACTACTAGATCGGAGCACAAGATTCTCACGCGTTCGCGCCGTTTGTTTCCTTGCCGCGCGCCATAAACAAATTAATCCGACCTCGTCGCCTCGATGACTCGGTTGACTTCCCTTGTGAACTGATTACTACGGCTACCTCGGAGCAGGAGCGCGCGAGGTTGGCTTGGCCATTGACGCGGAATCCACATCGCTGCAGAAGAAGACGAGAAAACCATGGCCGGTGGGGTGTGTGGTGTCCGCGGCGTGTGAGCTTCGCTGTGCTGCTCAGTCTGAAACCAACTGTTGCAACTTGCAACATCTCGCTTCATGGAGCAAGAAACCTTTGATTTGTCAGCTAGCAACTCTGCTGAACTGGAAGCCTTTCGTAGTACCCCTAAAACCTACTCCCACCGTCCCGTAGTACAGCAATCTAATATAATGAAATACTCCCTCCGTTCTAAAAAAACAAACATGGGTTTCCGTGACCAACATTTGACCGTCCGTCTTGTTTTAAAAAATTATGAAAAAAATTAAAAAGACAAGTCACGCATAAAGTATTAATCATGTTTTATCATCTAACAACAATGAAAATACTAATTATAAAAAAAATTCATATAAGACGGACAGTCAAACGTTGGACACTGAAACCTAGGGTTTCTCTTTTTTTAGGACGGAGGGAGTACTTCATAGTACAACGAATCTAGATAAAAAGCATATCCGAACGAATCTAGATAAAAAGCATATCCGAATTCGTTGTACTATGAAATATTATTTCTGATCCAATACTAGATTGTCATATTATGGGATGGAGAAAGTACTATAAATACATACTTAGTCTTAGTGCAACTCCATTTGATTATAAATATTTCAATGTTTGATAAGATTTGGTCAAACTTTTACAACTTCGAACATCAGGAAGTTCTAAAGTAAATTGCAGAATGGTTACCAAAGTTTTAATTTGGAATACGTCTTATACCCTGTTTAGATGGGACTAAAACTTTTAGTCCCTATCACATCGGATATTTGGACACTAATTATAAATATTAAATGTAGTATATTAATAAAACCCATCCATAATCTTGGACTAATTCGCGAGACGAATCTATTGAGCCTAATTAATCCATGATTAACCTATGTGATGCTACAGTAAATATTCTCTAATTATGGATTAATTAGGCTTAAAAAATTTGTCTCGCAAATTAGCTTTCATTTATGTAATTAGTTTTATAAATAGTCTATATTTAATACTCTAAATTAGTGTCTAAATACAGAGACTAAAGTAAGTCACTGAATCCAAACACCACCTTAACTAATCTTTTCACTTTATACCATCAATTTTTTTTCCTTGTGTTTCATTTTGGACCCCATTCTTCTTCTCTAATGTCATGGTTGGCTCACAACTAATTGATAAGAAGATCATCAGCTTACACGTGTGAAGTCGTCACAAAAAGTAGTGTCAGATATCATGAATTTACTAGTTTATATAAACATATTCTAATATATAATTATGGCCAAAGTTGTATTTTTAAAACTATAAAATAAATCAAACATTGTGTATTTATGAACAAAGGGAGAAGTTTATTTAGTTCATATAGTACAGTTCATCATACTATTTATAATCAAAATTTCATAAATTTATACATCAAAATCGGCTCCACATTTCAGGTTTTCGGTAGAAAAAATAACATGGCACCTTTTTAATTCATTAACGCATATGGAACATGATAACAACAACAACAACCCCACCCCCCACCCCACCCCCTAAAAAATAGTAATTGTAGCATGTGCTGTCACGACAATAGGACATCATATCCAAAACTTAAGTGCCACTAAACTCTGGCTGTGTTTAGATCTAAACTTCAGTCCTTTTCCATCACATTAACCTGTCATACACACAACTTTTCAGTCACATCATCTCCAATTTCAACCAAAATCCAAACTTTGCGCTGAACTAAACACAGCCTCTTAATGGAACCATCATTGACCATTGACTAAACAACTTGTCTGTATACTCATAAAATACACCAGGCATATCATATTCACCATTTCACATCCATCTAATATTGGAGTCAAGTCAACTATTGCCAAGTTGTACTGCTGATGCTTCATTTCAGCTCCTGCTTACCCAGTATTCACACCCCCCCCCCCCCCTTCTCTTCCCTGGAGAAGAAATCCGTTCATCTCCTCTGCCCTGCTGCGTCCTTTGGTTGTTGTGTGAGCAGCAGCTAGCACCTCTGCAGCTGCAAAGCTTCTCCAGGTTAGTGCATTCAAAAGCTGCTTCTGTTCAAAGGCTAAGAAACATTACACCGTTCTTTACTTCTTTAGGTATGTCCATGTGTGTGTGTGTTTTGAGGAAAGCTCATCCTGACTCAGTATGTGAGAAACCCTTGTTTTTATTTGAATTTGAAAGCTTGTTAGTTTGAATAACAGTAATATGAATTATGAAACACCAGTTAGCAACAATATATCACAAAAGCCATACTGACTACTCAATGCTAGTGCATTCAAAAGTTGTTTCTGTTCAATATCTGTGAGACTAATATTTATGAACTACGAAACACCAGCTAGCAACAATATCAGAAAAGCCATACTGACTACTGAAGCATGAAGGGTACTCAGAAGCAGCTTTCACATAATACTGAGAAATCATATATTTCTATGTCTCAAACAATTGTAATTTTTTTCTCTGTTTTCTTAGCTTTGTGTTATTTTGCTTGTGACTCTAGTTTTCTATTATTGGGTTAGTGCTCAATAATCAGAAATGGAAATACCGACACCTGAGCTATCATCACAATTTCTGAAGGAAATCACTAATGAGTTCTCTGATGAGCGAAAAGTTGGTGAAGGTGCATTTGGAATAGTGTATAAGGTAAGATTTTTGTAGTTTTAGGGCCTGTTCACTTTGATGCCATTTTCAGCCACACATTTTTTTTTTTGCAAAGTTGCTAAAAAATGAATGTTTGTTGCCAAATTTGGTAAATACATAAGAAATCCTGCCAAAATTTTGGCAATATTGCCATCTTACCAAAATTTTGTAAGGTTTATTTTGGCTACAATCTGAACAGGCCCTTATTCTCAGCATTTTCAAAAGTTCACAGAAAAGATGTCAATTTTGTATGGGGGACTTAACAGGGAATGCTTAAAGATGGGACAGAAATTGCTGCGAAGAAGCTTCGGGAAACATCACCGATTCATGACAATCAATTTAAAAATGAGGTTGGGAGTCTTATGAAGGTCAACCACAGAAATATAGTCAAGTTAATTGGCTACTGTTATGAAATACAAAAGAAGGTGGTGGAGCATAATGGAAAATATATTCTTACAGAGGCAGTAGAAAAACTGCTGTGCTATGAATATATATCTAATGGAAGCCTTGACAAACACCTTTTCGGTATGATAATGCAATACCTAAATATTTCCAGTCATTTTCCCTGTTTGCAATGTTTACAAGATTTAGATATTAGCATGATGTAGCCTACTCTAGGTTCTACTGAAGTATACAATAAGTCAAAAAGGTAAGAAGATCAAGCTCTCACTAGGTTGTGGGCTCATGAAAATTCCTTGTGTTTTTTGGCAATTAGTAAGTAATACGATTAATCCTAATGTTATTTGTTTTCCATAATTGCTTCTTCAGGTGAATCAAGTCGACTTGATTGGCACACACGCTTCAATATAATTAAGGGGGTTTGTGAGGGTTTGCATTTCCTACACAAAGGATCAGAAAGACCTATTATTCATTTGGATATTAAACCTAGCAACATACTATTGGATGACAACATGGTGCCAAAAATTGCAGATTTTGGTCTATCAAGGCTCTTGGGTGAAGAACAAACCAGAGTTTGCACACAAAATGTCATGGGAGCAATGTAAGTCACCAAACACATTCCAATGTCTATTGTTTTGTAGTTTTCCTACAAGGTGAATTTCATTTGCATTAGTCACATAATCCTCCAACTATTGATGCTGATATTATACAGAGGATACATGGCACCGGAATATTTATATCGAGGTGAAATCTCCACTCAATCAGATATATACAGTTTAGGTCTTCTAATTATCGAGATCACAACAGGGGAGAAAAACTTCCCCAATAGAGAGGACATCATTGCTAAGAACTTCATTGAGAATGTAAGGCAAAAATAATGACTGTACCAGTTTTAGAACAAATTTACTGTTTTCATACTAAGGAGTTCTTTTAGAATAATGTTATATATAAGTTTGTGTGCTGTCGTTGTTTATAGGTACGCCGAAATCGGACCAATATTGTGCATATATCACTGAAGTACCCATCGTTAGACACAAATTGCCTCCAGCAGGTAAAGACATGCATTGAAATTGGACTGAGCTGTGTTCAGACCAACCGGAAGGACAGGCCTTCTATAGGGGAAATTGTCAATATGCTCAGTTGAGGAGCACCATACTCCCTTGTAGACAAGGTATGGCTATAATTCAAGCTAAAAATGTATAATTGCATTGACATTGTTCTGGTTCTAACATCCTATTTAAAATACCAGATCTCTCCCTTTCCAACATGGTCGTCAGTTTGGGAGAGGCACTGGAGCAACCGAGATGTATGAGCCTTATCATTTATGCTTCTTAGCTACAAGAAATAAGATCCTATGAAAGAGATTCTCATCTCGAAATAAATGTTCTTACAGATTCCATCTCCTTTTGTACTTGTAATCATGATATAACAAAATATTGGAGAAAACATTGTTTCCACTCTCCAATCATGTGTTCGACACAGAAAATTATAAGTTTTATTCAATTCCTCTTTGATGATACAACAGGGAACTGAACTCTCGTTGCTATAACACTCCGCACCTCATGCTTCGTTTTTTTAACAAATTTTGTATTTGTGTTCACATTCAATGTTGTCATTTTTTTGAACCAAACAAAGTGCAAAACCATTCCATTCGTCAAATCATTCCATCCATCAAAGCATCATCCCATACTAGGCCATTCCATCATGATTTCACTGCGCTCCTCAAACCAAAACCATCATAAATATACTCAGGACAAACAATAGACTTAAAAATAAAGGATTATCAAACGGCCGAATTCCCTATCAGGTGGATTCTATAGACAACATATTCTGAGGGCAGCCAGTTAGAACCAAGATTTATTACAACCTGTTGCTCTGCCAAACAGGATGGAGACAAAACAAGTACTAGGTATGCCACGTCACTATACAAAATGCAGACAGAACATGTAGCTGTGCCCATGAATCCCCCTGATTTCATCAAGGGAGGTAACAGGGAGTGTAGGAAATCAAAGGTATTTTGATGACGATGATTGTGTGAAGGACAAGTAAACACAAAATGCACAATCAGAAAGCAACAGGTCCAAATAACTGACCGGGAAGCCACGTGAAGATTCTAGATCCTTGTCATGTACAAGAAGGCACCATGCCATTCGGCAGCTCACTCACAGCAGGAGAGACATCTGAAAGCCCCATATTGTTGAAAGAATAATGCAGTTGATCTTTTGAGCTTGATTGGTCTGCAAAATTGTTTTGTTTGTTCAGCACAGAAGAGGATTCCAATCCATGGTCAAGTTGCATTTTGTTGTTCATGTCAATCACTTGTTCTGGTCCCTCTGGTGCAATAGAATATTCTGTAGTCTCACTTTTGACTGCCTCCATTACACTATCAACGTCTGTATGTTCACTTTCTGCTGTATCAACAGATTTGAGAAGCAATACTTTTGGCCTATTCGGATGCTCCTTAGCAGCCTTTACCCATTCCTGTCTTGTAGCTGGAGTGACTCCAGAATGAAGAGTTACCTCCTGAAGATGTTTAAAACATTCAATTTTGATGTCAGAAAGGCCATGTAGATCTTTGCATAGCAGCTGAAGTGTGACAAGAAATGGCAGAGCTCCTTCTTCAATTACTGGGAATGTTGGACATTGTAGCACAATACAAAGGCATAGCAGCCTGGGGAACCCCTGAACTTTTATGATGAACTTCTCAAGTTCATCGGCAACCAGTTTGAGATACTGCAAGTAGCTCAAATTACTCAAGGCTTCAAGAAGGCCTGTTGTAAATTTAGTAGATGAAAGGCAAAGCTCCTTGAGACCACGAAGTGATGTAACAAACTGAGGCAATTGGGGGAAGTTGCCATGTAATTTCAACGAGCTGAGGTAGCAGGGTTCTTTTAAGGAATTTATCGCATCTTCAGAGCATCCAGTGAAATGAAGCGATAAAGAACGGGTACCAATATTTGCTTCCTTTTCATCCAGAATGAACTGTTGAATGGCCTCCCTAAGATCAGTCCAATCGGTGCTACCTGCAGACGACGTACACCAAATCTTCAACTTTCTCAACTTATTCATGTACCTCATAAGATGCAGAAACCCTTCGCTTCCGTTGCTAGCAAATCCTGCTAGCGTCTGCAAGTTGCTTTTTCCTTTCGAGAGAAACTCTTGCACTTCAGTCTTCTGCTTGACTTTATCTGAGAGCTTAAATTTTCCAAGCAGATGAATTAGGCATGGCAACCCGAAGACTTCTACCGGCATTATCTTTACTTTCGATCTCCTTACATCGAGTGCCTCCAAATCTTTCAATTTGGCAATATCCTTTGGAAGTTTGGAGATATTACCCCCAAGGCTCAGATATTTCAGAAGCACCAGATTGCATATTTCTTTGAGATGATCATCGTTCAAATCATCACATTTTTCAAGATCTAAAACTCGCAGCAATTGATACTTGCTGAAGTCTAATACAGTTGTACCTGCCTCCCCAAAGACTACCAGAGACCGTACAAGTGATAAATCAATACCGTTGAAGTTATCGCCATTCACAACAGTGTCACCATGGAGAGAAAGCCGACGAACATATTTGGGCAGGAACTTGTCATCACAGAAAAAGGTGACAAAGTTCTGAGAGATTGACATATGCGATATGAATTCACGCATCATACCGTACGTTTGGCATGTCTTGACTTTATCATTATTGCTTACATTGATGGGCTCAATAATGTTCCGGTCCATTAGCACATCGAAAGCAGCCGTGGAATCTAGGTTACTAGATGAAGACACTGGTTCTACAAATCCCTCGGCCAGCCATCGCCTCAACAGACTTTTCCTCCTGATTGGATGATCAGATGGGAACATACCAAAATATAGTAAGCAGGCCTTGAGAGCATGGCCAGGTAGACTAGTGTAGTTGCGGACCAGCACTCGCCGCATCCTTTCAAGTGTTTTATCATTCTCTAGGTGATAATGTAGCCGATTGCAGAGATCTTCACAGTTAGGCCCCGTTGGCCAGCCATTAGCTTGCAGGAATTCACCTATGGTAACAAGAGCAAGTGGCTGGCCATCACATTTCTTCAAAATTGCTGCTGAATCTGGCTGCTTGTAATGTGAATACCTCTCTGGGCAAGCTTTCTTGGACAACAATTGCTTTGAGCAGTTCTTATCAAGCCTGCTCATTTTGTGCAAATACCCATTCGCAGAACAGCAGGCATTAGCTACTGACTGGATGGTCGTCGTGACCACTATTCTGCTGCCAATATCCTTATCAGTCGGAAAAGCCGATTTGATGCTTTTCCACTGATCTTCTGTTTGAATGTCATCGATAACAATGAAGTACCTGCAAGACGAGGCAGATCAAGAAAGAATAATTGTAAACATCCCCATCTGGAGCCACAGTAATCAACAAATTGAAACGAATAATTTGTATAATTTCATACGGTAGAGCAATTTAGAAGCAGTGAATTGTTTTTTCCATTTTTATTCTATTATAGTAAATTTGTAAAAGATAAAGCGCATGAGAAATGCACTGTATGCATTTGATGACTAAATTAGTGCAGCTAACACCTAGCAGTTAGCAAGATATAGTATCTGTTCATGATTCACTTTGCTATTGAAAGTGTCAGTCGCACTGAACTTGTGCAAAAGAACAGGCGAGTTGACTAAAATGTTGACCTCAAATTCATGTGAAAAATGGATCAGGCAATTCAAGCAGAAAGTTGAGATTTTTCACCTCTTCTTCTCCAACTGTTGTCTGATATCTACACACAGCTGGCCAGCATCGGAGTCCCCATGGCAAGCGGCGTCAATCCTGCGGAGCAATTCGCCGAGCACCTCCCGTGCACTCCGGTGCGCGGCGCAAACCCACGCGTGCCTCTCGAATCTCCCGCCGCGGGTCTCTCGGTTGTACGCCTCCGCGGCGAGGGCGGTCTTCCCCAGCCCGCAGAACCCGACGATGGCGATCACCTTGAGCTGCTCCGGCTGCCGCTCCGCCAGCTGCTCAAGGAGCTCCGCCCGGTCCGCGTCGACGCCGACCAGGTCCGCCTCGTGGATGCGCGGATCTGAGGCAGATGAGCACGACGGCCACGGCTCATCCACCTGCGCCGCAGCCGATGAGTAGACCTGACCGTGTTGACCGGGCGCCGCCGCCGTGTACCTCTGCTTCCGCTGGTTCGCCTCCTCCACCATCCTCTTCAGCCGCTGCAACTCCTGGGCCAGATGCTGGTTTGTCTGTAGCAACTTCTTGGTTGCCCGGACCGTGCGGGGGAGAAGCGACGAAGAGCGCCGCTGCTCCCTGGCGGCGCGGTACAGGACGCCGTCGATGCAGTCCTCGATGCCGTGGGCGAGCTCGCGGAGGTCCTCCATGCATAGCGTCTGTACGGCGGCGGCGGCGGCGGCGGCGCCATGTTCGACGGAGAGGTCGTCGTCGATGGCGCCGACGATCATGCGGAGCTCCTTGATGAGGAAATCGATGTCGCCCTTGACGCCCTTGTGCAGATTGAGCTTGTCGTTGACGAGGGAGAAGAGCCTCGGCAGGATGGCCTTGATGAATCCGCTCAGAAGCGCGGCCTCCATCTTCCACCTTCAACAAGCTACGATTCGATGGAGATACGGCGGCGGCGGCGGCGGCGGCGCCATGTTCGACGGAGAGGTCGTCGTCGATGGCGCCGACGATCATGCGGAGCTCCTTGATGAGGAAATCGATGTCGCCCTTGACGCCCTTGTGCAGATTGAGCTTGTCGTTGACGAGGGAGAAGAGCCTCGGCAGGATGGCCTTGATGAATCCGCTCAGAAGCGCGGCCTCCATCTTCCACCTTCAACAAGCTACGATTCGATGGAGAGCTGGGGAAGGGGAAGACTGACAAGAACGGATCAGGCTACTCTAAGCCTGTGTTTGCAACCCTTGTTACCAACCCCTCTTTCTCTTTTTTACATGCACGTTTTTCAAACTGCTAAACGTTGTGTTTTTTTTAAAAAAAGTTTATATACGAAAGTTGCTTTGAAAAATTAAAATAATCCATTTTTTTTAAAAAAATTAGCTAATACTTAATTAATTACGTGCTAATGGATCGCTTCATTTTTCGAGCGGAGCTAACAAGTTTCCATCCCACTCATGCGAACACAGCCTAACTTCAAATTTATGTGCATTTGGGGCTGTTCGGATGAAACTAAAAATTGTTTCTCTTTCACATCGATGTTTGACGCTAATTAGAAGTATTAAACATAGACTATTGATAAAACTCATTTCATAACTCTGAACTAATTTACGAGACGAATCTATTGGGATTAATTAATCCATGATTAGCATATATGATGCTACAGTAAACATGTATTAATTATGGATTAATTAGGCTTAAAAATTGTCACGTGAATTAGCTCTCATTCATGTAATTAGTTTTTAGTCCCTGAATCTAAACACTACCTTTGTCACTGGCATGTGGGCCCAATAAACTATGGGGCTATCTGTCAGTGACAAAGACATTGTGTCTTTGAAGGCAGAGGATTTCAATCCACCCTACCCTCTGGTTTAGATGGCCTCAATTACTGAACTACTCCCTCCATTAAAAAAAAACCTTGGATCGGATATGATACATTCTAGTATAACAAATTTTCAGTCCTTTTCCATCACATCAACCTGTCATACACACACAATTTTTCAGTCACATCATCTCCAATTTCAACCAAAATTCAAACTTTGCGCTGAACTAAACACAGCCAGAGATATATATAGATTCATATTATTAGAATGTATCATATATATGACAGATAGAGTAAACATTAAAATGCCACTATTGTACTCTCTCTGTCACATGTCAACTCGATATAATCTAATACTCCCTCTGTTCCTAAATATAAAAGATTTTGGTGAGATGTGACATATACTAATACAACGAATCTAAATAGACTTATGTCATATGAAACCAAAATCCCTTATATTTAGGGACGGAGGGAGTACTACATATATGGACAGATCTGTCTACATACATAGGCTATGTTTAGATCCAGGGGTGAAAAGTTTTAGTGTGTCACATCGGATATACGGACACACGTTTGAAGTATTAAACGTATACTAATAACAAAACAAATTACAAATTTGCTGTAAACTGCGAGACGAATTTATTAAGCCTAATTAATATGTCATTAGAAAATGTTTGCTGTAGCACCACATTGTCAAATCATGGAGCAATTAGGTTTAGAAGATTCGTCTCGCAATTTACACGCAATCTGTATAATTAGTTTTTATTTTTGTCTATATTTAATACTTCATACATGTGTCCAAACATTCGATGTGACATAGTGAAATGTTTTTACGTGGGAACTAAACAAGGCCATAGTAGAATGGTAAAGCCTATTCACATACTTCCATGTCCAATAAAAAATAAATTTAGGATAAGATGTGACACATCCTAATACTATGTATATGCACGGGCATCAATTCAAATTGTGATAGGATGCGTCATATCCGGTACTAAGTTGTTTTTTTATGGGACGAAGTGGGTACATCACATATGTAATTTCAGATGATGTCTCATCTAGTTATAAAATACTATATTGTGGGTTGGAGGTAACTAGAATACTATATTGTGGGTTGAAGGGAGTAGATTAATTACTCCATCCGTCCCAAAATAAGCGCAGCCATGAGTTTTCGTGTCCAGCTTTAATTGTTTATCTTATTTATTTTTTTAAAAAAATAAAAACATAAGTCAAGCATAAAACACTATTCATATTTTATAATCTAATATCAATACAAATTCCAATCTATTTTTTTAAATAAGACGAACGATTAAAGTTGAACAGGAAACCCAGTTTCCTCATATATGCGTTTATTTTGGGACGAAGGGAGTACTAAAAGTGTCACTAGTTTCAATGGCACCTAAATCATATTGGACTGTTAAATCAATTTGACACTATCGAATCAATTATTTTAATGATTTTATTTTTTACATACAACTTCATATTCGCCTTGTCCCCTAAACTTTCTTTGCTCACGTAAGATAAAGTAGGCAAGGGCAATGACACCACTATTGAATTATAGCCTCCACCCAGATCCCCAGTGCTCGGTAGGGTCAACACTTTGGGAGATGGGGTGCATCACAGCGCGAAAAAAGTAGAAGCAAAGCCATCTAATTTGACATTTATGTTTTCTAGGATCTTGTTATTGGCTGCAAGCTTTTTGCTTAGCGCATCAGTGGTTTTAGCCTATGTAAAAACTAGATCCCTCGAAGAGGGCTGGTTAGAAAAGTTACCGTTGTTGTTACCTCCTTGATAATATGGATGTGGTTGGCTCCACCGCTGACCTCCTTGTGGACGGTACCCGTTGTTGTTGCCCATGTACATCGCCTCCTCACAGGTTTCCGGGCAGTCATTCCCAGAATGACCCGTGCCGCCGCAGACCTCACACGTGACGTGAGAGTCTAAGGCCTTGACGGTGCCTTGTGGCCGTTTCTTGTGGTCGTCCAATCGCTTCATGAGGAAGTCCAGCTTGGCAGCAAGTAATTCCGTCTCTTTGACGGTGTGCATGCCTTGCTGACGGGTCTGGAGTCGTTCCTCGCTCCAACCCATATTTGAGACCATCTTCTCTATTAAATCAACGGCTCCTTGAACCGTTTTAGAGAAGAAAGCTCCTCCAGCTACCGCGTCTAGGTGATCGCGGGACATCGGGGTGAGTCTATTATAAAAGTTCTGCAGGATCAGCCAGTCGTCCATCCCATGATGAGGACAGGCGGCTACATACTCCTGCAGTCGTTCCCATGCTTCCGGAATAGACTCGTCCCTTGTCTGCTAGAAACTTGAAATCCTTCCACGAAGGGCATTGGTTTTGCCCATCGGGAAGAATTTCGAGAGGAATGCCGTAGAGCATTTGTCCCAGGTATTGACAGCAGCACGATTGGCATAGAACCACTGCTTCGCTCTCCCGAGAAAGGAGAACGGAAACAGCCACAGCCTGACGGCGTTGGGACTGACGCCCTTGATGGTGTACATGCTATAGATCTCCAGGAACTGTTGCAGATGAGCATTGGCATCCTCATTAGGCTTGCCACAGAATGGGCTAGCCTGCGCCATTATGATGAGGCTGGACTTCAAGTCAAAATCCACGTCTCCCATGTTGATCTGCGGCCCAATGGCCACATTGTCAGCAAAGGGAGCAGCGAACTCGCGGAGAGTCTTGTTAGCCATAGTCTTGAAGGTTGGTGGCGCTGGTACGACTGGTTTCTCTGTCGGTAGATTTTTCTGCGGAGCAGCGACTCGCGGACTGACGCTCCAGAAGAAAGCTTCTGGATTTTCTTTAAAGTTTTCCGGCAAGTTGAAACTAGTCATGCACTACCCTGTTTTCACAATAAAAAGTGAAAACAACCAAGGTTAGCCTGCAAAGGAAAATGATTATATAGAGGTAAATATAAAGTATTAGTTCAGGTAATCTCTATTATGAATCTTCCCCGCAACGGCGCCAAAAATGCTTGTTGGTATTTCTTAACAACATTACTAGAAATATAATTCCCAACAATGGTGCGAAAATACTCCTGGTATATTATGGTTACAGAGTTCATCTGCAAGCACATGGATATATCATCGTAGCATTTCACCCGAGAGTATTCTAAGGTATCGTATTTATTTTATCCCGTGGGAAGATCATGTAGAGAGAACTTGACTAATAATTTATATATTACTTGTGATAATCATATTCTAAGCAGGGGTTAAAAATAATCCAAGGGTAGAGTGACACACAAGCATTAACTACTTATTCTCATAATATATTATCTAAGCTAAGTGGAAAGAAAAGAGAAAGAAAATCTATTCATATACTTATAATATACATAGTATACATACATTCTAGTTAACCGATATACTAGCTAATACCCTCTATCCGATGCCCTCCCGGTACTTCGAGAAGCCACCCCTGACTGCCGAGTTCCTTACGACAACCCGTCATGACCATACAACCGGGGCTAAATACGGAGGAATACCCTCCCCAGGGAATTAACTTAGGATTATATACTGACGCGGAGGAATACTTGTACTGAGCTGTCACCATCAGCAGCCCGCCTCTCATCCGCAATATATAACCCCGAATAATGATATCCCGTAATCTAGACACCACGTCTAAACTACCAGATACTACTCTAATATTATCGTCATGACATAGAGTAATTGCATGTGCAAACATTATACCCGCACCAAAGCTTACAAAAGAGAAGAGGAAAGCTACTAGAACCATACCCGAACTCTTCTGAAGGCTTCCGGACTCCTGATTTCTATTCTATTCCTATTCCACCAGCTAGATACTACTAAACTAAATTTGAAAGAAATGAGAGAGCTATTGCTTGAGGTGTGTGAGTGAAGTGAGAAGAGGAGCTCCTTTTACAGCTGAACTATGATGGTTGTGACGGTTGGAATGGTCGGTAATACCCTCCAACCATCATTGGGGCTTCATCTCAACCGTCCAGCCAAAACCTGGATCCAACGGAGGCGAGGGAGGTTAGGCCCGGCCCAACCAGCCCACCTTTCGGCTGGCGGCCTCCTCTGTTGCTACTTTATGTAGACTTGTGAATTTTGGCCCAATTTGACGTGTTAATTCTGAGTTCTTGGCCTATTCATGCATAAGTCTGATTCTCGACATCGTCCGATTGATTTATCGCCTGAGTTGATATCGATTCTCCTCCACTTTATTGTCATTCTCTGCAAAAGGTTAGTATACCTAATACTACTGGAATATTATTATTCTAACAAATATATGCATTGCAAGCATCACTAGTTCTCCTCTATTTTAGTAATATTGACGGTCGAAACTGATCAATAATGACCGTCAACATGCACGTCCAACGAGTGCGCGTCGAGTGATGAGCAAGCAGAGTCCCATGACCAAGTGTCCATGGACGAGTATCAAGGCGAGACGAACTTTCGTCCTGACACTGAGCTCGACTTGCAAAGTGATCAGGAGAAAACAAGCTCGGACCAACCGCTGCCAACATATGAAAACAACATAGCAATTACAGAGCACTCCTCCAGCTTTAGCAGGATGCCCCCATAGTCCAGTGCACACCAAAATAGGGTTATCTTTGAAAACAACATAGCAAATTTTGTTAGTTGGCAAATGTTCCTTAAGGAATAGTTTTATTTCACTGGTGGAGAAAGGGGCTTTACTCCCAGTTCGTAACCCCCATGTAGTCCCGGTTTTCTAACCGGGACTATGAATTCGGGACTAAAGATCGCTATCTTTAGTCCCGGGTGAAAAAAACCGGGAGTAAAAATCCATTTCTAGACTAAAGAGGCTAGCTCAGGCTGCTACTTTATTCTATTCTTTTCTTCATTGTTTTTAATATATTGATTCACTCTATCTCATCCCAAAATCCCAAATCAATCATCCCCGAATAGTCTCTAAATTCTCAAATCAATCTCTAAATACATAACAAAATCTTTAAAAAATTACATCACAACTTCTACAAAATTCATCACAAATACATCACATATTCACATCACACACAAATCAAATACATCACTTATTCACATCACACACAAATTGTCTCAGATCTGAATCACAGATTTAAAAAAAAAGAAAGAAAAAAAAGGAAGAAGATGAACGGCCCGCTGCCGCGGCGGCCGCCGCCTCGCCGGCCGCCGCCGCGCCGCCGAGCCGCCCGCCGCCCGCCGCCAGCGCGCCCGCGCGCCGCCGCGCCTGCCTCGCCCGGCCCTCCGCACGCCGCGCCGCCGCACCGGCCGGCAGCCGCCGCGTCCCCGGCCGCCACCGCGAGGCCGCCAGCCGCCAGCGCGCCGCCTCACCCGGCCCTCCGCGCGCCGCGCAGGCCGGCCGGGCCTCTGCGCCCCGCCGTTGCATAGGGAGATGGGGAGGAGGGAGAGGAGGAGAGGAAGGGAGGAGGGAGAGGAAGAGATAAGGGTGACTCTGTGAGGAGATGAGTTAAAAAAGGAGAGGAGGAGATTGTATTGATCTGATCCGCTTATGTCGACTTTTTTCTCGGTTGGTGTTACTAACCGGGACTAAAAATAGATCTTTAGTCCCGGTTGGTAACATCAATCGGGAGTAAAGCTTATATTGATCTTTTTTCCCGGTTAGTGTTACCAACCGAGACTATAAATAGATCTTTAGTCCCGGTTGGTAACAAATCAAAAAATTCCTCAGAGCTTTCAAACCAGGACTAAAGATGTTTTTAGTCCCGGTTTTTAATACAACCGGGACTATTGTGAAATCTGGTGGACCGACCAAAAATGGTTTCTCCACCAGTGTTTGCTTCTCCTTTTATCTTAACGTAAGAGAGATGTATTCCTTGTAATTTCTATTTCAGTTTAGTGGAATTATAATCGCAGGGACCTTCTTCTTGTTCTCTATGTTAGGAAACCGGCCGGCCCATGAAAGCTCGGCACAGGTTATACTCTAATGGGCCATCACTAGAGAGAAGGATTGTACACTTGAAGATGAAATGATGAGTTGGAATGTTGCCTCTCTACATATCTTTGTGTTTCCACTTTTTCAGACATTATGCAACCCCTCTAGACTACGCTTATAACATAAGGGTTGCATAACACGTTCTCACTACGACATTCTACCGAAGACCGAGAGAGAATAACTTTGTGTCTCTACTTTTTCAGATATTATGCAACCCCTATAGACTACGCTTATAGCATAAGGGTTGCATAACACGTTCTCACTACGATATTCTACCGAAGACCGAGAGAGAATAAGGGAAGAACTTGTAAGATCCATTCTGCATATCGCTCATCTAATTGTGCAAATGGTAAGAACTTCTTTTTCTTTTGCATGAATCATAAATCTATCTCGGTTGTCAAAATATAGCCGTAGCGTTAGCACGGATAAATTATTAGTTACAGATGAAACATCAAATTTTAACGGTTGAAACATATATGTCTTTTCTCTAAATTATAATCTCTAAATTATAATCTTGTGATCTTATTTTAAAATTTTAATTAAAACAAATTCAATGGTATAATCGAATCGTAGACCTGTTAATTAGTTTATGAGAAAATTTGTATTAGATACTAGTAATACACTTTCTAACCTATAAAAAAAAAAGAGAAAAATGAGTATACGTTGCCCTGCATACAACATGCAGGGGGAGAGAGTGCGCGTGCTACTGTATAGAGGGGCTGTTGAGTTAAAAAAAAACATTTCACCCATCACATTAAATTTGGATATATACATGGAGTATTAAATGTGAAAAAACAATTATACAGTTTGCGTATAAATTACAAGATGAATCTTTTAAACCTAATTGTGCCATGATTTGATAATGTGGTGCTATAGTAAACATTTACTAATGACGAATTAATTAGGCTTAATAAATTTGTCTCGTGGTTTTATGTGGAATCTGTTATTAGACTATGTTTAATTTAGTTCTCCGTATATTTGATGTGACGCAAGGAATTTTTTTTTCCAACTAAACAGGCCCACCGTTTAGAGAAAAAGAGAGCGGGTTTCTTTTCAATCTTAAAATCGGGATCAGCACATGGGAGAAAGGACCGAGCGAGGGCTCGAACTTTTTTCCCCCTTGCGCGTCGGGCGCCCGAGGTAAATCATTTTGAAGAACAAGTTGGACGGATTCCATTGTCAGACCGTATCAATCCCCTTTTCATTTGTTAAAGAAAATGTTAAAAAAAGAAGAAGAGAAGTATACCTACCCGTCCCGGTTTTCCCCCAAACTTGGCTGCACTGCAGAGCTCCTGTTGTTGGGTGTTCGATTACAGACATCTGGTTCGCTGTAGGAGTTTATTAGCACGTGATTAATAAAATTTATTTTAGCTATTTTTTTAAGAAAATAGATTAATATAATTTTTAAGCAACTTTTATATAAAACTTTTATAAAAAAACATATCGTTTATCAGTTTAAAAAACGTGCGCGCGAAAAAAGAGAGGGGTGAGTTGAAAAAAAGATTCTGTTCTTTAGGTGTAAAGTTTTCGAAATATATGGTCGTACATTTGAAATATTAAATGTAAAATAATAAAATAAATTACATATTCTGTCTGTAAACTACAAGACGAATTCATTAAGCATAATTAATCTGTCATTAGCAAATATTTACTGTAGCATCATATTGTCAAATCATGACGTAATTAAGCTTAAAAGATTCGTTTCGCACATCCTGAGGGCAGCAATTGGTTTTTTTTCCCATATTTAGTGCCTTATGCATATGTCTAAATATTTGATGGCAGCAATTGGTTTTTTTTTTCATATTTAGTGCCTTATGCATATGTCCAAACATTTAATATGATGTTTTTGGCCAAATTTTTTTAATCTAAACAAGGCCATAGCTCATAGCTGCCCTCTCCCTGACTTCTGAATCTCTTTTAGAGAGAGAGAGAGAGAGAGATGAGTTCTTATTCCCTTGGCGGCATGGATGCTCCGGTGAGTTTCTCCCTAGGTGCCATGGGCCCTCTCCTCAGGAAGCTCGATTCGCTTCCGGTGGCTCCCGAAATCCGGCTGCCTGAGCCACTGAAGGACGGAATCGAGCTCCTCAAGGAAGATCTAGAAGAAATCGGTGCCGCCCTCGTGGAGCAGTCCATGGTAGATTCCCCAAGCCACAGGGCAAGATACTGGATGGATGAGGTGCGTGACCTCTCCTACCACATCGAGGACTGCATCGACACCATGTTTTCGATGCGCTGCGGCGGCGACGACGGCAAGCCCAGATCCGTTCGCCGCCACAAGGTTGGCCGTGTGAAGGTTGACGGTTTCTCCAAGACGCAGAAGCCGTGCACGAGGCTCGCCAGGATCGCGGAGCTCAGGGCTCTGGTGCGGGAGGCCAGCGAGCGCCACGAAAGGTACCAGCTTGGTGACGGCCGCGCCTCGAGCTCGAGCTCGAGCTCTCACCGCGTGTTCACTGCGCACGGCCAGGTTCCTGCGCCGTGCAGAAATCTGGTTGGCATGGACGAACCGAAGACGAAGCTCACCAATATGCTCACCGACGAAGCAGAGCTGCATATGAAAGTGGTATGCATTCTTGGATCAGCCGGTATTGGTAAGACCACGCTTGCTGAACAAGTATACCGTAAACTTAGATGGCAATTCGATTGCCATGCTTTTGTGCGGGCATCACGAAAACCTGACATGAGGAGGCTTCTTGGGGCCATCCTCTCTCAAGTTCAGCTGCGTATACGGATATCTGATACCAGCACGGTGCAGAGCCTTATTGATAATCTCTGGGAGTATCTACAGAAAAAGAGGTAATTAATTAACGCTATATTCACTGCTTTTTAATACTAGTTCAGCTACTGAGCATCACCAATAGACTCTCAAAATTCTATTCCCAAAAATCTGTTATTGGGCGTTCTAAACTGATTTTGGGGTGTTGAATGTATTCCTCCTTCCAACAAATTGGCTTAATTAACTGCCTAAAATTAAGGACTTGGCCCATGTAAAAACTATTAACAGAAATCATGCTCCCCATCATCCATCATCCAGCGTGATCACATCTGCATGATCGGCCACGCCTCCCTCCGCGATCACTCCCGCCATGATTTTGGGAGTCAACCCTCTCCCCTAGAAGAGTAGAGCAAGACATACGGGAATGGGAGCTGCAAAATTTTGGTAGACCTTTCGGATATTGTTGGAGCAAGATTTTTACAAAAAAAATTGTAAATTTTGGTATTGGGAATGATTTTGGGAGACTCTTGTGAGGCTATCTCCAACCCTTCATGTCATTAGCATGAGGGGACTCAGTGTCCATAGCATTAAGTATATTGTCACATCGGAAAAAATCTGAGGTGGCAAGAGAGTTAATGAGGAGAGAGATGAAAAGATGAAGAAACCATCTCTTCACAACAACCAAGAATGAAAACAAGTGATAGGTTCATAAAAGGAGAGAGAAGAAAGATGATTGGATATATAGTGTCTATATGACATAGCAAGTATGGAAACTACTTTGATAGTTTCTAGGTTGGGGATGGCCTGATGCTGCACATTGAACAATTGCTGTTCCCTCCGTCACATTGAATAAGGCGCGCATGCATTTTAAAATTGAACTCTCTAAATATCTGATCAATAATATTTTGTTATAAATTAACTTTTATTTGACAAAAATAATATCATTGGATTGACATTTAAATTTACTTTGATATAATTGTGATTTTGTTGTTACAAATATCATAGTATTTTAGATATTCAAAATCAAAGATTTGTTTTAAAAACCATACCAAGTTTGACTGCGCCGGATAAAGGGGGTAATTTAGAAAATAAATAAATAAATAAATATATTATCCTGATAAACTTCCTTTCCTTTTTGAGAGAGACCTGATACACTTTGTTCTTTTCCCAGAGAATATAATTTAATTATACTTTGCAGGTATTTTATTGTAATTGATGAATTATATGAAACAGCAACATGGGATATCATTACCAGTGCTTTTCCAGAGGATAATAATTGCAGTAGGATAATGACTACGGCTGGAATTGAAGGTGTAGCTCTCGAATGCTGCAGTTATCATTCTGTCAATATTTTCAAGATGATACCTCTTGGCCTTGATGATTCTGCAAAATTATTCTTTAATAGAGTTTTTGGATCAGAGCAACAATGTCCTTATGAATTGAATGAAGTTTCATATAGGATTACAGCAAAATGTGGTGGATTGCCACTAGCAGTCATTATTATAGCCGGTCTTTTAGCAAGCCTGCCGTGCAAAACAGAGCTGTGGTACAATATAGATGGATGTTTATGTTCCAGTGTGACTACAGATATTGATTTGGATGAGATACTGAAGGAAATCATAAGTCTTGGCTACGACAATCTTCCACATTATTTGAAGACATGTCTGTTGTATCTTAGTTTATATTCGGAGGGTTTCATAATTTGGACGGCTGACTTACTGAAGCAATGGATATCTGAAGGTTTCATCGCTGTAATAGATGGAGAAGACATAGAGGAAGTCGCTGAGAGCTATTTCTATAACCTTGTTAACAGGGGAATGATCCAAAGTGTGAAAACTAAGTACAATAATCAGGTGTTGTGTACTGTGCACCACACTGTATTTGATCTTATTATTCACAAGTCCAAAGAAGAGAAATTTATCTCCGCAATAGATTACTCTCAAACTATGCCAGGAAATTCTTTAGAGGCTCGTCGATTGTCATTCCACTTTAGCAATACCAGATATGCAACTGAAGTTGCAGGTATTACACTGTCACAAGTTCGTTCGTTTGCCTTTCTTGGACTTCTGAAGTGTATGCCTTCTATTATGGAATTTAAGCTTCTTCGGGTTCTAATTCTTGAATTTTGGGGAGATAACCATGGATGCATGAGTTTTAACGTTGCAAGAATTTGTAGATTGTTTCAGCTTAGATATTTGAAGATCTCAAGCCAAATAATAATAGAATTACCAGCCCAGATCCGGGGGCTAAAATACTTGGAAACACTTGAAATAGATGCAAGAGTAACTGCGATTCCATCTGATATTATTCATCTCCGAAGTTTGTTGCATCTATATTTTCAAGATGGGATCGTTCTACCTGATGGCATTGGCTGCATCAGATCTTTGCGTACACTTAAGTATTTTGATCTTGGAAGTAACTCTGAAGAGAATATACGGAGTCTTGGTCAGCTGACGAACTTACGGGATCTTCATCTCACTTGTTCTGCACCAAAATCTAATCAGCAGGCAAAGAGAAACCTCGTAATTCTAGCCTCTTATACTGGGAAACTCGGTAACCTCAAATCTGTCAAATTTTCTCCTGGTGATTCAGGCATGGATATTTCCTTTTTGTTTTATGGAATTGGTATTTCGGTTGATCGTTCCAGAACAGCGTCCTCTCTTCCTTTCTCTGTTAGGACATTAGAGTTGCCATCCATTTGCATATTTGCTAGACTTCCTGACTGGATTGGTCAACTCCGTAAACTCCACACATTGAATCTTGCTGTTAGAGAACTGATAGAAAATGATATTGATAGTCTTGCAGGACTGCCTGACCTCATTGTTCTCTCAATGCATATCATGAAAGCTCCTATGGAAAGGATTGTCTTCAACAGAAAAGCATTTCCAGTTCTCAAGTATTTCAAGTTTATATGTGGCACACTGCGCATGGCTTTTCAGGCAGGAGCCATGGCCAATCTTCACAGGCTCAAGCTAGGTTTCAATGCCCATAAAGGGGAGAAGTATGACAATATTCTTGTAGGCATTGAGCACCTATTAAACCTCAAGAAGATTGCTGTTCGAATTGGAGGAGCTGCTGAAGCCAAGGAGTCTGACAGGATGGCTGCAGAGGCTGCGTTGAAAGAAGCCATTAGAAAGCATCTAATGTTTCTTGATGATCTCGACATAGCAAGGGTAGAATGTGTTAAGGAAGAGTATAAGTGTATTAAGAAAAAACACAAGATCAAGATTGAAGATTCAATTAGCGAAAAAAATGGGGACTCAAAAAAGCAGCATTCTGTCGAAAAGAAAGCAGTGTGGGGCAAAACTATGAAGAATATTGCTGATAGTGGGTATGTTCTTTCCTATTATTTCAGCCTCTACATTTTCCAATATATATTGTTTAGAAATAAATGATTACTACAACAATAACCTTATAGTAAAACGCTAAAACACAGTTGTATCAAAAGGAATCTTTACAAAGGTACATCTATGCTCTTTGAAAAGGATAAGATGGGATGCTCTATACTAATTGGAGCCTCTACTAGAAGCTTTCACATTAACCTTAGAAGGCAAAAGACTGGAAATTCCCACATTAACAAAAAAGAAAACTAAAAGCATTAATCTTTGAAAGATCAAATGGTATGCGCCAATGTATCAAATCTAAGGTTGATATCTTCCACCACAGAATATGTGCATTTATCAAATTTGGAATCAATAAATACCTAGTTATACTTGGTTTGGACACTCGAGTATAGTATTTTGATGAATAATAATTGAAACATTCAGCATTAACAAATATTGAGTTTTACTCGGTCTAGAGTCTCACTAGCTTATTTTTTATGATTTTATTTTATAATTCCGAAATTCAGAATTGATAAATACTGTGTTGTACTAGGTTTGAAGTTTTTGTTGAATAATAGTTTCAAAATTCAAAAACAATAAATATGCTCAATTTAGAGCGTAGAGTAATTTTCTCATGACCTAATAATTCTGCAGTTTAGATTTAATCATAGTATCTCATGATTTGATAATTCAAAAATCGAAATTAATACATACTCAGTTGATGCTTGTACATTCACACGGGTTAATTTCTACCGGTGTCCAAGCGGTGTAGCAAGATCAAATAGTATGGGTTAGACTCAATTTACACTTTGTAGTCAAAGTTGTGTGACCTTGTAAGCAATCTAGACAAATGGCAAATCTATGGCTATCTAAAATTTAAAACAAATCAGACATGCTATTTACGGGAAGCTGTTTTGATCCCTCAAGAGAATGTCCCTCGCTTGTAAAAAAAAACCATCTAGAATTCTCAAAAAAAATTCACAACATTCATACTATGTATGTATGTATGTATGCATGCATGCATGCATGCACACACACACACATGTATGTACATATAACACATATACATATACATATACATATTCATACATAACGCACACACACAAATTAACTTAAATTTTTGAAAATTTTCAACTTATGAGTATATACTAAGGTACAAGAATTTGATTCGTACCTATATCTAGCAACAAAACAACTCAAATTCAACTTTATTTTACAATCCATTATTACATACCTAACTAATTATATGTTTGGGTGGTATATACCTAGAAGCAAAATCTAACAAAAAAATGTTCAAATTTAGTTCAAACTTGTTAGTAAAGAAGTTAATGTCCATACCTGATCTACATTGCCTTGCTCTCATCATCGTCAGCGTTGTGGCCTTTCTCACAGGCAACCTCTCCTCGCTCGAGATCCATAAAAACAAGAGAGAAAAAAATGGATTGGTTAGTTCGTGTGTGTATCTATATATAGGTCTATAGTAAAAAAATTACTGGGTGATGCGTTGTGGGATGGGCGATGCTGGTAGTCTGCGGGGGTGGGTTTACACACACAACACTCCACTAGGTCCAAACTCAATTTATAACATTTAGGTATAAAAAATAAATATATTCATACCGGAATTTGTCTTTTTGTTTCTCAATATATAGGTCGAATTTGAAGTTGTTCTCTCGTGGAATGTTAGATGTCACTGTACTCCACATTGTTAATTAAATTTTTATAACTATTTTAATTGAATTTAAAAGCAAAAAAGTATATGAGGGGATATCCTTTCGTGGGATTAGAATTCATTCCTGCTATTAACTAGACCTGTATTGCAGCGTGTTTCCTGAAGATTATACTATGTCAAGGGAGCAACGGGTCGCAGAAGGCTTCGTAGTGGGCATTGAAAAGTGCAGGGCAGAGGATGCGGCCGAGCGAATAATCAGGAATGTGCCTGTGGACTATGATGGGCTTGGCCAGGTGAGCACATCCAAGATACAGGACCACTTGCCTGAACTTGCTCCTCGTGCTGTGCAAAACGAGAAGTTCGGCTCTTCAAATGATCTTAGCATAATGATACAAATCAACAAGTATGCTCGTCTGCCATCTTATGAGTGGAGGGACACTGATATATCCAAACTGAATTTCCGGCTTCTCCGCGCCCCGATGTTACTTGAAGCTGTAACGGCCCGTTGTCACTTGTTGGACTTAATCCTCATTGGTTCAAACAACATTACTGTTCTTGACCTTGGACGTCCCACAATCACCAAACTGCCGGCATCTATAGAATGTCTACCTAATTTACGGTACTTGAGGTTGCAGGGCACGCAACTGAAGTCGCTGTCGGAGGTTATTGTGAAGATGCCCACCATCAGGGGGTTGGACATCAAGAATACCAAGACAGAGGAGCTACCACAAGGCATTTTGAGGATGAAGAAGTTGAGTCACCTGAGTATGGGGGAGAAGCAGAAAAATATTCAAGTATTCATGGAAAAAATGCAGACTCTGGCTGAGACCGTCCAAGACAGCGATGACTTGTCCGACGAAACAGAGGGAATAGCCGACGACGAAGGCGAGTTCTCTACAAGGGCCAACGCGTCAACACCGAAGGTGGATGAGGACGAGGTGGACCGGAGGGCCAATAACTTCATCGCCAGGTTCAGGAAGCAGATCACGATCAGGAATTCAGGATTCGCCAAAAAGGAGAGCAGCATCGACGAACGACTGTGGATACGAGATCTCGATGAGTGCCAACTCTCCAAGAGAGGTGGACGATTTTAAGAAGAAGTTCGACGAGATCATTGCCAGGAACAGGCACACATGGAAGCCAATCGAGTCACCGCGTTCTGTCAAGCACGGCAAGTATTTCGTTCGCTGCCCGCCGTCGCTAATCACCAGCGCTGTCTTTTCCTTTTTCTTTCTTTCTATTTTTCTAGTATGGTACTCCCTCCGTTTCAGGATATTGTCAGGAAACCCCTAATCAATCGCCTTGTGAACACTGGATGAACTCACGCGAAAGTGGAAGAACACGTAGAACACAATAGTGTAGACGAACAGACAACAAAAACAGAGTTTTTGGTGCTGCCTGAATTGCTTGCAGCTTTTCGGGGTTTTTTCTCTCCTTTTATTGTACAGAACTGAAACATGCAAAGCTACGCCAAAATACTCGGATCTCTACCCACGACTCGCGGCTTGATCGCGTCCATCCCCACGTCCGCTCATCGTGCGCATACGCCCGCAGGCTTAGGCACGCCGCGAGCTATTCTCGCTTGACTCCTACACGCACGGCTTCCACACGTTGGGGCTCATACACTGACAATGCACAAAACAGAATCCAAAGCTTAGATAACTAGCTAAAAACAAGCATGCAAGATTTATCCTCGAACAATTCTCCCCCTAAACCTTGCATGGCTGTAAAACCTCAACAAGACCGATCTTGGACCAAAGCTCCATGAATCGATCTCGCCCAAGGGCCTTTGTTAAGATGTATGCAAGCTGCTCGTCAGTATTGATGTATTATTCGATCTTAACCCTGCCTTCCTCGACGCACTCCCGAATGAAATGATACCTAGTGTCCATATGTTTGCTGCGATCGTGAAACACAGGGTCCATATGTGGTCTAACCCCTGGTTTGATAGGTAGCCGATGTTCAACAATTGATCAGCTGAGTCTTGGCATCTCATAATACTCCCAAGCGAAGCAATCTCTGAATTCCTTTAACAGCTCTATCAACTTGGTTCTAAATTCCGAAGATAAATTCTTACTAATAAATGTCGGCCTTGGTCGATCACCCGGACCTATGTCAATCTCTTCCAAATCATCGGCTGACATGAAACTCTGTCCTTGCTTGTCATCGAGATCATCTACTGTGTCCTCGGTGTAGACGTTTGAACCCTCCACGACGCCCTCAAAATAATAGCTTGGGCTCTCCATCTTTAATTGGCTGTATATCAGAATCGGACACTTTTAGAAAATCTCCATCCCAAACTTTTCCAGATAAGCAATCGAGACCATCCATCTCCCAAAGAGCTAAATCGGCACTGGCAATATTAACTGACCTGTCGGCTGGCACATTTTCAATCTCGTCGCCTTACCACTGAATCAAGCATTGATGCATGGTTGAAGGAATACAACAAATAGCATGAATCCGATCCCTTCCAAGCAACAAGCTGTAGGAACCCTTCCCATCGATGACAAAAAATGTTGTAGGGATAGTTTTGCTGTCGACTGTCAGTTCCACATTCAAAATTCCTTTGGTTTCTGATGGATTACCACCAAAATCTTTGAGCACCATGTTTGTCTAGATGAGATCCTCAGCATTTCTGCCCAGCTTCCTAAATATAGCATAAGGCATCAAATTCACTGCAGCCCTACCATCGACCATCATCTTGGACATCGGCTTCCCATTGACATAGCCATTTATATACAATGGTTTAAGATGCCGATTCTTTGCCCCTTCCGGCTTCTCGAAGACTGCTTGTTCTGGTGACAAAATTAACTTAGCCGATTCTTCTTCAACTTTGTCAACATCGGCTTGTTTGACCCCAAATTCAGCAGGCAACGTGAAAACCATGTTAGATGCGGTCACAACACCTTTTCCTTTAGCCAATCTCTTTGCTTCATCGGCTGTGGCTTCATCGGCTGCAGGAACTTGATTCTTAACACGCCACTCCTGCTTTGGCTTCTCCTTCTTTAGCCGATGATTGATTTCTTGCTCAACCTCCTGAAAGCGCTCCCTATTCCTCAACCTTTGAACCCTTCTCTTCTGATTCTTTGTAAAAATACCAGAAGGACACCATTGAGTCTTCCCGTCTTTATTGTCTTCTTGGTCACAACCTTGGTTCACCGGGCCCAACCTTTGATGAACAGGAACTCTTGCTTGCCTTAGCCGATTGCTTCTATTATACGATCGGCTTGAATTCTCTATAACATTACTGCACCCAGGACAGTCTTCAATAGATGGCAGCCTCATACCTTCATTCCAGCAAAATCTAAAGAACTCACAGTCCCAATAAGGATCAAAACCGCCATCGTCTTCTCCATAATGCCTCCCCTGCTGTTCGTCATATTTTTTCTGATACTTATTGATGATTTTAGCCGAATTCACCTGAAAACCTCCTGCTCTTCCTCCATCGGCTGTTTGGCCAGCTGTGTGTACCATATTAACAGGAAAAGGACTGCCATCAACCTTCATCAGCCTCTTGGAATCATCAATTTTGATTTTGCCTCCCTCAATAGCTGCATGGATCTGCTGCCTGAAGACTTTGCAATCATTGGTAGAATGAGACCCAGAATTATGCCACTTGCAATACCTTCTCTTGCCCAATTCTTGAGCCGATGGGATTGTATGACCAGCAGGAAGTTGAATCTGTTTCTCCCGAAGTAGCAAATCAAAAATCTTATCAGCCTTGGTAATATCAAAGTCATACCTCTCCTCTTTTCCAGAACTCTTTACCCATTGGCAGGGTATAACCTTTTTGCTTCTAACCCACTCGGCTACTGCTATTTCAGAATCATCATCATCATCATCCAATCCATATATGTAAGGAAAAACATGATTAACCTTTTTAAAATTCTTCCTGGCCTCTGCAAACCTTTGTTCATGCAGGGTTACCTTCTATGCAAGATGTGACAAACTATCAAAGTCTTGAGATGAGAACTTCTCCCTGATCGGAGCTATCATACCCTGAAAAGCCAGATCGGCTAACTGGGCATCAGTCAAGGCCAAGCTGTAGCATTTATTCCTCATCTCTCTGAATCTCTAAATGTACTCCTGCACAGGCTCATCATGCCTTTGCTTAATTGCTGTCAAATCTGATAGTTTCATCTCATGAATCCCACTGTAGAAATAACTATGAAAATGCTTCTCCAAATCGGCCCAACTGTTGATTGACCCACATGGCAAAGAAGAAAACCAAGTGAAAGCCAATCCAGACAAAGACAATGGAAAACCTCAAGGCATCCACAGCCGATGCTTCACCACACTGAGCTAAAAATCGGCTAACGTGTTCATAGGTTGAAACACTATCTTGTCCTGAGAATTTTGAAAAATCTGGAACTTTGAATCAGTTAGGCAGAGGAACTCTCTCAAACCACTCGGGGTAAGGATGCCGATACAAATTTCCAGCATCTTTCGGCTTAAGCCCAAATTGTTCCCTTATTACATCCGCAATCATATCGGCTCATGGTCGTTGCTGAGGCACTCCTTGTGCTTGTTGTGGCACGGGCTCGAATTGATTGTATTGAGGAACAAACTGGGTTGAGCTGGTCCTCCTTGCTGATATTGAACTTGTGGCGATGGAGGCTGATACTGATAATTCAAATTGCCCCCCTGGTAATTCTGAAAGTTTGGTTGTATATTACGCACCAAATTTTCGGGAAAAACTTGAGGTACCACCGTTTGATCTGGTTGCACATTATGAACCAAATGCTCTGGGACAACTTGATTCGCAGCGTGTTGCCTTAGCTGATTGTCAGGTGTTACAAACCCAGCTGATGTATTCATTAAACCTTGCCGCTGAATCGGCTGAACAACTTGTTGCCTCCGTGGGGTTTGCTGAATTGGCCGCACCACCTGCTGCGTTGGCGGTGTCTGTTGAATCGGCTGTTGCTGGACTGCGTCAACAGTAGGTTGAGGGGGTAAGAACATGGCTGCACCTTCATCTTGAGTTAGCCGACTCACATTCTGTTCACTATGCTGTGGTTGCTCTCTCACCAACAACCGAGGATTAATTAATTGACCCGGTGTCGATGATGGTGCAGCAGGTGCAGGGGCCGATACTGGTGCTACCGGTTGAGCCGATGGTGCATTGGGAGGAATCGGCTGGACAGCTGACTGATTATTAGTAATTAAGGGCCGATAATTTGGGAAAACACCTCCTGGTAAATAAACCGGTCCTATAGCCTGATACTCAGCTATCGAGCCATCAACCATCGACTTCACCATGTTTGACAATGTGTTGACTAATACCCCAGATTAATTAATCAAAGCATGTTGCACATCATAATCAATCCGATCTTGGAAGTTGTTAAACTGTAGCTGTGCCGTGTTGCCATCTTGGTTAGGATTTTCACCTTGAAATCCCTGAGAACCATCACCTTGAATTCCTTGAGAACCAACACCTTGAACCCCTTGAGAGCCATCACCTTAAACCCCTTGAAAACCATCCGCAGTACCTTTATCACCTGATTGAGTTGCACCATCTGGAACCTGCTGTATTTCTCGATCCTTGGACGAACCTGTTCCGGGAACATCAGCAATTACATTTACTTTATACTTCTGAACAATTGTTCCCTTACGTGTCTCCATGAATGAGTTCAAGAATTGGTTCCGTGCTTGCTGCATCATAGCTTCAAGATCCTTTTGCTGCTCGGGTGTCAGCTTGTCCAGAGTGATAGGCACGATATTGCTCTCATTAACTTCAGATAGACCAGGCTTCTAGATCTTAAATTTAGAAGAGCCATCTTTACCAGCTGAAGACGGCGATGCTGGTGGTTTCTCAGCCATGGGAAAATGCTGTTGTGATTCTGACTTCTAATAGTCCCATCGGGTGTGCCAAAAGCGTGTTGATGTGAAAACACGAGGCCTGGGAGATCTGCTTAACTCCAGTGCAGGTCCAAAACTCGCCTTCGGGTATGCTAGCGTGCCAGTTGATTTGATCCTGCAATCAACAAAAAACAAAGACAAAGAAACCGCGGTTAAATCCATAAACGATAGCTGATCAGCTAGGACATATCATTTGAGCCGATGTCATATATGCACCGATCGATAGTCATTATCTTTGAACTAAATCTACTCGATCGGCCGTAGATATTAACGGCATATAGTCCTTATATCGATATATACTTAAATCAAGTGATTGGGATAGATCGGTCGCCATGCCGAGACAGTATAAATCACTTAGACCGAAATATATATTAATAATAAGACTATATGTGTTTATAGCATAGCCGATTAGATAGATCTAGCATGTATCGGCTATTACTCCGATACCACTCTATATTAAGATATTAAAGCAAGTAAAATATACCAAACGAAAGCCTAATATACTTAAATGCAGCAAGATATTAACATAAAGGGCGGATTTAACATGTCAATTAAGCATATAGGATAAAAAGTAGTTAAATCAGGTAAGATCGGCTGAAACCCCGATACTACTCTAA